TCGTTTTTCGCACAAAATTTGATGCAGGTTCTTTGATCCATTTTTTTGAATAGGTAAAAATGGAAGACCATCCAAAACACGTGCAAGCAAAGCAGCTGTCAACAATTAAGTGAACATTCAAAATGGCCGAGCTTGACGGCATAAGTGACAGACATGAGTACCAACATAACGCCACAAAAAAATCGAAATTCGATTAGCGAAAATTCAAAATTCGCGATACTTTTTGAACACACCTCGTACAATAATAAATTAAAAAGTGTAAGAAAGCGTCTAACTAGTAAACGAGAAGACCGAATACTTCTACGCGAGTCTCTCAAGGATCGCAAAAAATCTTCTTCTGCCCTTGCAGCTGGCCTTTCGGATAAATTTAGTAAACCAGTTAATGCTCGAACAGCTAGAAAAAGACTTCCGAAAGCAGTTTTAAAAGGATGTAAAGCCCGAAAGAAGCCGTGGCTTTCAGAAAAGAATAGGAAATATCGTTTGGAATGGGCTCGCCGATACCAACATTTCACGGAAGAAGATTGGTCTAATGTTCTATGGTCTGATGAATCAAACTTCCAGGTGAGGTAAGCTTAATTAAGATCGTCTTAAAGTACTAACAGCCATAGCTTCTTACTCTAGAGCAATTTTGAAGACATAATACAAATCTTATGAAAACATTATTTTTTTCTATTCTCTAGATATTTGTAACACCTGGTGTGACGTTCGTGAGGCGACGGATTGGGGAAGAATATCATCTAGATTGCGTGGTATCCACTGTTAAGCATGTTGAAAGCAGCATTATGATCTAGGGCTGCATGGCTGCTAATGGTGTCGTTTGCGAGGGTCGCATGAACAGTCAAAAGTACATAAATGCATTAGAAGCTGCTCTTCTGCCTTCGTTAACGCGCATTTTCGGCGACACTAATTTAGACGGAGTTCAATTTCAGGAAGACCTCATTACCTCACTTGCTAAAACAAAAAGTTCAGTAATTAGTGGGGTGCCTAATACTTTTGGCCAAGGCTGTACACTGAAAGAAAAACTTTACTTTTTGGCCGATATTACGAAACATTTGAACGAGTTGAATGTGAGGCTACGAGGAAAGAATAAATTCATTTGGGACTTGGCAAATGATATTCAAGAATTAAATTTGAAATTGGTCGCATTTAAAAATCAAATTTGCGAAAATTTTTTCACTTTCTTCCCAGTGTTCGACACAAACTAATATAATGAAGAATTTGAGCTGGCTTACGATATGAAGATCGATATTTTGATTAACGCGTTCGATTTACGATTTGAAGATTTCCAAAAGTTTCAGTAGGCCTAAAAAATTTCTCAAAACCCATTCGTTTGTGACAAAAAAAAATTTAAAAATTGTATGATCACTTGGAAAAAAGAAAATTAATTTGGAATTCGATATTTCGTTGATAAATGACGAAAGTGGCTTGCCAAATGAACCTGGCGGTGCACTGTGGAGGCGTTTTGTTATCTGAATATTATTTCTTGGCACTCAAAGACATTCTTCCAAAGTTTTTATGCATGTTTGGTTCCATATACGTTTGCTAAGCTTCATTCTCAAGTCTCGTGCGACGTAAAAATAAATACCGCAATGCAACCTTCTTCCTTCAACCCGTAAAATTCACTAGTCGTCAACGACTAACAAATCGTCAAATCGGCATCGGGGTAAAAAGTTTTCTGTTCGTCTATTAGCGCATATTACCTTGCAAGCAATTTCCTTGCCTTCCCGCATGCATCTGGTTAGCAAAATTATGGCGAGGATGACAAATATTACAATTCTAAAATATTCTAAGCGATCCAGAAAAATCTAGAATAATCTAAGATACTTGATTTCAATGAAGAAAAGTAAATGAAGCATAAAAGCAACAAAAACAACTAGCGCTTGCAAACCCCCTTCGACTGTTCATCAACAAACAGTTTGCTCCGGTAGCAGTAAAATTTTGCTAAAAACCAAAATTTGAAGTTAGCAAAAGTCGCAAACCCACACATGTTATGCTTCATATCCATATATAAAAAAAAAAAAACAAATACACACAAAGTATTGTCAGATCCTTTTTCTTTTGTACCCTCCACCAAAAAGTTGTTTCTGTTAAAAATTTCGTCAAGAGTCAAAAATTGGTGTTGAGCTTGCGACAAAGTGAAAACCCATACTCTCAAGCAATTTAATATGTATACGTTAAGGGGCACACCTAGTGAGAGATTTCAAAAAAATCGATCTTTTTTCATATTTCGGTAGATTACACTTTTAAAAATAACATATTAAAATTACAAATCGATATCTCAAATAGTTTTTGAGTTATAGCAATTTAAAGAGCAGCCGCTCGGCAGCTAGAAAGTCTCATTAGCTACGAGTGGAAACGATCGTTTTATCTTTAAACGCGTTTTTCTCGATTTTGCTGCAGTGATTACTCAAAACCAAATGATCCGATCACTATCGATTTTTTACATGTTTTGCATATAGTTCTCCGTACAATGACCTATCGATTTTTGATCTGATCAAAAAATCGAATTTTGGCAGGCCAAAAACGACCAAAATTTATGGTAAAATTGGACTATTTTTTTTAAGACGCCGCCATCAATTTTTGATTTTTAATATGTGCCTTACCCATTTTGGTTTTTTATTTTTTCTCAATATCTGGTTTTACGAGGATTTTTTTTTAGATTTCATCCACAGAGTAGCCGGAATCACTGCAGCAGTGAAAGACCTTTTTTTAGCGCCGTTGGAGTTCGACTATAACTTAAAAAATATTTAATTTTTTTTCAATAAAAAATTCACTGTATATTCATGAAACATGTATAAATATATTCTTAAAAGTTTGAAATAATTGATAAAATATTTTTTTAATAAAAATTCCCAAAAATCACCTTTTTTTAGGCCATTACACTAGGTGTGCCCCTTAAACACACACAATCTTAATAACTCACATGCCCTTCTCTCCTTCACCCCGTCATAGACAAACCTCTTCTTCGCGACGATGAAAAAATTTCAGAAACATCAAAATTCACGTTGGTTTGAAGTTAAAGACACATACATACATACATTCAAAGAGGCTAATCTGTACACGAAAAACAGACACATGCACAAAAACTTGCAAATTCTCTTCCGTTGTACCCCGTCATCAACGAAATACTTCTTCGGGACGGTGGAAAAATTTGCAAAAATCATAAATTCAAATTGAGCTGAAGTCAAAAACAAACAGAGTCAAAGGTGACTGTATGTATATGAAAGACCCATACATATATGAAACCATGAAAAAAATAACATTTTCATTCATAAATACCACTGCTCCCATGCCTCCGCTTACTCGTCTCAACACTTGCTTCATCGGAACGGTCACAAACTCAAACAGTTGAGTAAGACTAGATTCGAGTGGAAACGAGATATTCGGCTGATATTTATGTATATGTCTAAAACTTCTCAGTTCTTACTCGAGCTATCGCATTCCATAAAATTCGAATTCTTGCCACTTTGACAAAAATTCAGACTTTGTCCGCCGAATTGAAGCAAGTCGGCATCGTGTTGTTAAATTTGCTGAATTCAAGTTGCCCGTCCGTCATATAAGCTAGGCAAAATGTGAAAATTCTAGATTTTTGGGATGAAGTGCGAAACCTAAGCTATGGCCACAGAGGGAAGTAGAGGCGTGCTCGGGGACAAAAAGAAAAAAATGCGGATGCCTTCAGGATTTTCATACTGTCAAGTGAATATATACTATATGCTTGCTTTAATATATTTATGTACATATGAATGTGTATATACCCTGTTGTGTTTTGCAATTCAATCGGCTAATTTTTGTTTTGGTACGAAATTTCGTTTCGCCGAAAATCGCGAGAAATTTGAAGGAAGGTGAACTCCGGCTGCGGAACGCAATTATTTACCTAAACAAAATTTTTCAAATTGGTTCACAGTTCTTTTCCCTTCTTATACGTTCCTTGGTTTTATGTTTTATTTATTATTTAAAATTTTTTTTTTTAATTATGGAAAATTAATTTAATGAAATTTCAAATTTCTTTACTTGGGAAAAAACTTAGATGGTTCTTAAATTATATCTATAAAAAGTCCTTGCACCTCAGTTATGTTTCCGTCAGCATCATGTTTCCGCTGGCTCATGCGCTTGAGCTCCTACAGTTCACGGTATGGAGCCCAAGAGGAGCAAACCCACACGTAAAATCTAAGCAACAAAAATCAACAGCAAAAGAAATGATTTCAGTTTACTTCACCCGATTTAAAATCGTAGCTACTATTCGACTTAGAAAGGGTCAGACCGAAAATTATGCACCGAAGAGTGCTTACAAAAAGTTTTCAATAATTATTTGGGAAAAAGAAAGAAAGAGGATTTGCTGCGCCGTTTTTTACATCACGACAATGCGCCATCCCACAAGGCTGAAATAATGGTTTGCGATCTCTGGGATCGAATAAATACGTTCAGCACCATATTTCCTCGGATATAGCACCTTGTGATTTCTGGATGTTTTCAAAAATTAAAAAAAAATTAAAAGGAAAGGTCTTTAATAGCAACGAGGAGATAATTAATGCGATTAATGCTGAAATTGATAAGCTTGGAAAGCAAGATATGGAAGACTGTCTTCAGAAGTGGATCTTTAGGCTTAAGAAATGCATTGAAACCAATGGCAATTATGAAGAGACGATAAAAAAGGAGAAAGGATAAAGAAAACAAATAAATACAAAGATAATTTTTTTTTGTTTTTTTTTTCTGGTTAACTTATTGAACTTTTGTTAATCTCCTCGTATGTATGTATATATTAACATTTTATTACATAATCTAGGGCATTGATTAGTTGACCAATTCGGTCCAGTAAAGTAACTGGATTTGATTCCATTTTATCATATTCCAAAGAAAACATTTAAATATTAAATAATTTTTCTGTAGTAGTAACTAAGCGCATTTGTTTTTGAAGGAGAAAACTTGAAGTAAGTTGTGATATCACTTTAGATTGGGATGAATTAAAACAACAAGATTATTTTTAAAACAATTTATTTTGATTTTTTTAGTGAATTTTTGTAAACAAATACCTTATCTCTAATTGATATTCTCTTCCCAACCAACTTCGTTCGATAAAACCTTGTTTTTAGCTGATGTGTTCATATAGGGTCTCAGTACCCATTCGGTATCAGATGCTTCTATCTCATCTAATTTTCCCAATTTAATTTGATATAATTTAAGTTGAAATCTAGGTCCTATCTCCGTTATTTCTAGTTCTTTATCATATTTAAATGTATGATGGCGAAAAGATATAAAATCGTCATTATTTGCGAATGTTATAACCCTTTTAGAAGTCGATTTTGGTGTTGGAAAGAGATGTTTCAATATTTTCGTTACTCGTTGTCCTATTTTGGTTTTGAAATTGTGAAATATTAAATGTGGCATTTGCTCGCTGATGTTGCCCATAAAGGGGACATCATGACGCATAACTACATTTGATATATTAAAAAACGCTGTGGGCCCGTTTGGCAAGTGACTAATGACCATGTTATCTGGAATTCCGCGATGTTCATGAACAACAATAATGTCCGTTACTCCATTGGAACAGCATACTCGGGTCAGTTGTTTCAAATCACTTTTACCTCTGTTTATGCGTTGCGAATTCGGAAATAACAGTCTTAATTCTTTTACAAAAACTTTTAGCTTTGCAGAAGGATTGTGCGAAGTTGTTATCATAACTTTTGGCATGTAGTCGCTCATATATTTATACTCGTCATCAGCTTCATCAACATCTAGAAAAAAACACATTAAATATATTATTTGTGAGCTCAACGTTTAGGTTTTTATAATATATATATATATATATTCTATATATATTCTTGAGCCCCTTACCCGCAAGGGGGAAAATTCACTGTCGTCTACCTTATCGGTGTGTATTCTGAACTTATGTATGCCATATATCGCCAATATCGCACACTTAATCGCCTAACTCAAAAAGAATAATGTAATGTACAAACAGGGTTTACCACAAAAGCAAAAAAAAAAATTCAATGAACCATATTTGTAATGTGACAGCATCGGAAGTGTCACTGGATGTGCTCCAGCTCCCGATTATGCAGATATAGCACACCAACCATGTGGAACCACTACAACAAAAACAGCCCTGTGGTCTGTTCCGAATAAGTGCATCTGGAAGCAAGCCATAGTGTAGAAGTGAAGAGATCGCTTTAAAAATGTTTCCTGTCACCAATAATCTTTAGAGAATACTATATGACAATTTTGTAGCTAGATTTACCGATATTTGTATAGCAATAATATTATTTAGTAAATAAATAAATGACAAAACTTACCCACATATTTGAGCTTCTCCTTTGTGGAAAATGCATTAGATAAGGATGCTTTATTCACTTTTCCTTTCACCAGACCTGCAGCTAGAATCTCCTTCTGACCAATTGTTTTGTCTCTACGCTTTTTCTCCGCCTTTTGCAGAAGATATTCCCGTCTTAACCGAGCTTGCCTACGAATCATGTTTTGTACTGGCTATTCGTTGAAGATCTTTATTTACGTATATTTAGAACGTGCAACGCGAATAAGTTTGCCTGTAGTAATGGGTAAAAACGATCATTAATAATCGATGTTTAGCCGGCTATCGATAGTAATCGTGTTTTACCATAACAGTGTACGACAAGCATACAAGATTGTTCTGCAGTCCTACGACTGTACTGCGGCGAAAACAAAGATACTATATAACATTCTCACTTATTTATTATCTTTAGGCACCAATAAGGTTTTTTTGTAGCTCAAACAACAAGTACAAGGCCCAACCGTCAACTATGAGTTAAAAATGTGAGCTGCCATACACAATCCGTTAAAGCTAATATTGAAGCGTACAAATTAGCTTTGCTTGCTAAAGAACAAGTACCCAAGCCCACAAATGGTTTAAATTCCTTCAAAAAATATTAGGTAGAGTCTTCAATGCACTATTTAAGAGGCAATTTTTTTGCATATACAATGGTAAATAGTTTCTAAAATTATTATATACAAATATTAAAAAAAACAACTTAGACAGTGAACACTAACATTTATTGTGTTTTGTGTTAGTCTCGATAAGAATTAGAGAAGGCATCGATTTGGCCATATTTTGCTTGGGAATTGAGAACGAATTACCTTTTACTGTTATTCGCTCATGAAAATTTTTATGGCGAATTAAATAATGTCGCAGAAAAGGAAATAATGAAAATGATTTAAATATCCAGTGATCTCAGCTAATTCCCAATGTAAACAAATAAAATGGCGCTTTCCATATTTGTAAACTTCTACGATGATATACGAATTTGGTATCAAGGTGAGGACAAGTCGTCAACTAATTCAAAAAGAATCATCTGAAAGATACATGCAAGCAATATCTAGCTGCATGAAAGTGAACGCAAACTGCTGGCTTGTTCAGTAGAGTGGGTAACTCGATACTGATAACATGAGTTTTAAGAGGAGTGGGGTAAACCAGAGAACCTATACTAATGACAAGCACCGGGGCGTGCCGATTGTCATTTGTTCCATCTATGGGATCGCTAAGAGACTATTTCACCTCTTTAGGATATTAGTAAGAGACTATTAGAAGGCCGAGATGTAGCACGCCACCGAAAATAGTGCGTTGGCTCTAAATCTATATATGGATCTGAGAGTGAACGACAAACAAAGACTAAGCACAACGTCTCGGCGTCTTGAACCAATTCAAGGGTTAACCACTATCGACTTTATGCAATAAGAAATACAAACGTGAGTTCTCATTTACTTTGGGCCAGTTTCCGGCAATAGCTTGGCCCCTTAGCAAAGCGGAGCATATTTATCCAGGTAATAGGGTGATTAAAACCCGGATTTCCAATCGATTGCCCTTTCAAATATTAGGTTGTCAAATATCCGCTTTTTTGTCTTTTGAATTTCGCGGCTATGTACAAAGCGCTACAGAGCTCATATCTGGCAACACTATACTATTTGAAAGGTCTTGACATAACCTACAAAACAACGCTATGCATGATTAGTTTGGATATTGTGTTCAACAGTTATAGACGTGTAAACATGGAGTTCACTAACGCCGAAACGTTATTTTAAAGTTTTCCTTCGTTAAAGGCAAATCCGCTAGAGAAACGTTCCGTGAGATTAATGGTGTTTTGGGGGATGGTACTCTATCACTTCGAACCGCGGAGGAATGGTTTCGACGACTCAGAGCCGGTGAAAACGACACCATGGATAAGCCAGCCGGCGGAAGACCTGTGACGACAAATACCGATCAAATCATGGAATACATCGAGTTAGACCGGCGTATGGCATCTCGTGACATCACCCAGGAGATGGGAGTTAGTCACCAAACCATTTTGAACCATCTGCAGAAGGCCGGATACAAAAAAAAAAGTTTGATGTTTGGGTGCCGCATAATTTGACGCAAAAAAACCTTCTGGACCGAATCAACGCCTGCGATATGTTGCTGAAACGGAACGAACTCGACCCATTCTTGAAGCGGATGGTGACTGGCGCCGAAAAATGGATCACATACGATAATATTAAGCGAAAACAGTCGTGGTCGAAGGCCGGTGAATCGTCCCAAACAGTGGCCAAGCCGGGATTGACGGCCAGGAAGGTTTTGCTGTGTGTTTGGTGGGATTGGAAGGGAATCATCCACTATGAGCTGCTCCCATATGGCCAGACGCTTAATTCTACCATCTACTGCGAACAACTGGACCGCTTGAAGCAGGCGATTGACCAGAAGCGTCCAGAATTGGCCAACAGGAAGGGGGACAACGCCAGACCACACACTTCGTTGATGACTCGTCAGAAACTACGGGAGCTCGGATGGGAGGTTTTATCGCATCCACCATATAGCCCGGACGTTGCGCCAAGTAATTACCACCTGTTCCTGTCCATGGCGAATGCCCTTGGTGGTGTGAAGTGGAACTCAAGAGAGGCTTGTGAAAAGTGGCTGTCCGAATTCTTCGCAAATAAGGAGGGAGGCTTCTACGAGGAAGGTATTATGAAGTTGCCGTCTAGATGGAAACAGATCATCGAACAAAACGGCGCATATTTTAACTAAATCCGATCACTGTAACACTTTTTATAAAGCATTGAATGAAGAGCAAAAAAGCGAAAGGGAGATATTTGACATTATAATATCAAAGATGCATGCATGAAGATTTTTAGACGATATCACCGGAACCAGCCACTGCGTTGGTTGGCTCTGCGTCCCCTAGATTAACGAGAACAAGGCGAAATAACTTCTGTCATCAAACGAATGGTATGTACGTGACTTTCGTCGTTGAGAAAGAAGCATAGTTTCTTTGCAGAATTAAAAAACTGATAATAATTCAAATGGGATAACCAAGGAGGAGTTTTTATTAAGTTAACTTTTAGAGCGATAGAGTTGGATGTTTTCTAATTTAAGTTAATATTATGCAATCAGTTCATCAATAACATTTACATATCTACAAATTAGTGAACTACAGTTTTGTGAATTATATGACTGTATTTAATTTATCGTTATTTTGAAGGACGGCAACGTCCAGCTGAAATGCCAGAAAAGTCAATATTTTTGTTTTCAATTATGGGAATCCTGTCATCATATAACGTTGGCGCTTGTAGAATAATTCCTGCGGTGCCGGCTAAAACAGCCATTGTAAAGATCCATAAAAATAACCGATCTAAAACCATAGCCACATATTTCCAGTCTTCCTTGACCTAAAATAAAGATGCATATGATAACATGAGTAAGTCCAAATGCGGTAAAAGCAAAAAACCTTTGTAGAATCCTCCTGCAACTTGGTATGCTCTGCTATAAACCGCACACAAAATGAGCAGCGATGGACTTTGGATTTACATTTGGTGTGTAAAAAGCATCGGTTTGTTAGTATTTGCTCTTTAATATCTGAAGTGTGTTCGTTATAAGAAGGCGTGGCTGCTAAGCTATCTGGACCTTGTTGTGATAGTGGTGTGATACATCCATGAATTTGGCAGCTACCAATTAAAGTTCCACCTCCACTATATTGCATAATAAATAAAATATATACATATCAATACAAATACATTACTGTATATGTAGTAGCAGGGTGTAAATTATAATGAATAAAAAATGTTTAAAAAGTAAATGCTATGAGATATACATAGTTCTACCAGAGAACATTTACTAAGGAATAGAACCGGGGCGTGCCGATTGCCAATTGTTCCACTTACGGTATTGCTAAGAGACTATTTCACCTCTATACGATATTAATAAGAGACTAGTTGACCGCTAGGTAAGAGGGCTGCGGTAGTGCCAAATTATTTACAGAAGAATGATATTTGGGAAACAAATATTTTATTAATTTATTATTATCTTGCTCAGAAATGTTGACAAAAAAGAGTCAATTCAGTGAATTTCTGGCGGCAGTGGTGAAATAGTTTCTTATTTTTTCGTCGATTCTGATATTCACACGCCGTCCACAATCGGTCCTTCTCATTATTCTACGTTTTCTGGTTCAACGATGTGCTTACAAAAGGAAAGTTATATTAAAATAGTCAGTGAAAAGCCAAATAGAATAGGCGAGTGTCTATTGTGACTTTCGTAAAACTATAAAAGTAAAAAATTACCCAAAGTTACCCATAAACATTTTTGACTTGCGTGCTGCCATTCTGAAGAACAGTTGGGGTGTTCTCTATCGTAGTTTAAGGATTTTCGGATCGTTCAAATGACTCAGCGATAATTTTAACGATTTCGCCATTATCAACACACAACGACCAGAGAACGTCAAATAACGAGAAGAATCGATTGCGGATAGCATGTGAACTGCCAGAAGCGACGAAAGACATAAGAGACTATTTCACCACTGCCGCTAGAAATTGACTCTGTTTGTCAACATTTCTGAGCAAGATAATAATAAATTAATAAAAAATTTGTCTCCCAAATATCATTCTTCAGTCTCTGTAGGGAAGTGTCCCACGCCCCGCCCCTCTCTTCGCGCCCTACACCCCTTCAAAGTGGGATAAAGATTCCCCCAATTGGCAATTTATTTGGCTAACCTATGCCGCCAATTGAAGGATGGTGGAAGAGAACTGTAATTTGTTGGCGACCCGAACCGATACTAAGTGACCAGACTAACCTCGGAGAAGGTAAGGCTATTCATTTCGAAGACATATTCTTGTGGAAGCTACAGTTGATATGGATCCTAACGAAAACTGTCTGGATTTGTTAGCTTCAGCTATTGAGGGCAATCATGGGGGAAAATATTGTGTTCACGGGTTAATCCGCCAAACATAAAAGTCGTTGGGAATACGAATATGAAGCGGCCGAAAGTCGCTTCAGCGGTTTAAAAAGTGTCAATCTTCTTAAATGTAAAAATCTAATGTTCATTTATAAAGACCCGGTGTTGCCCAAAAGTTACCGACCCAATGACTTAAAATTGATAGATTGTTTCCCTTCGATACGCCCTTTCAATTCAAGCCACTATAGTTCGCTGTTCGACTAGCGTTTGTATTTACTATCTAGAGAGCTCGGCGTAAATCTTTGAAATGATGTCAATCACTTTGCACATGGAAAATTGTGTTGCATATTCCAGAGTTGCCAGATCAGATAACCCATATATACATAGAAGTATGTCTTATATTCAATGAGAATATGCCACAGCGAAGCGTTGCAGATTAAGACGTTCAAAACGAAGACAATTTTTCACAAAATTAACATGCCTGGGATGTCATTGCATCATTGCATCAGCAGATAGCAGTGATGTCATGTCGACGCCAATTCGAAATGTATTGACGTTATTCTTAGCGAAAGAATTGGAAGTTAATAAAACGTTGGCCAAAAATATTTTGGAACTTTGACGCCAACTCGCTCGACTCGATATTTGGATACGGATTAGACTATCTTTATGGACAACCTTCACGTGCTACGACTTGGAGGAATACTACCTTGGTGGGCACAATAAGGAGCAATAAACTGCAACTGTCGAAACTTTTTACATTTTCAGAACAAGAAAAAAACTCCATATGTTTGAATCAACTTAACAAAAAAATAAAAATTAATAAAGGTCATATGTGCTTACAGCAACATTTAAGCTGATGTCGATACTATTGGCAATACGAATGCACGCTTGACGAAAAAAAGAAGTTAATAATAACAAAAAATATAATTAATAAGTGTAACATAACATAGGTTTGACAGTGCCGAAAGTTATTGACCGGTGTTTCACAATATAAAGAGAGCCAGTACGAATAATGCAACCGCACTATTCGGAAAGAGATTAGCCACACTTACTGAAGAAGACCCCATGGCCAGAAGCTTGACCGAAGATGCTAGGGAACAAGTGGGAGCTACCAAACCTACCCACCCAATCCATTTACACGAGTGGAGCTTAAATGAGTAAGCCAATAAATATGTTGGTTGACGCAGTCTAAATTATTATGTTTTCTTAAAACAACAATTCGTCAAAATGGTCTTAATGAATACCAGAAAGTTTCCGGAAATTGAAATTTAAACTGCACGCGCTGAAGCACTGTCCTTAAATACTATCCAAAGATGAGCTCGATCTGTCCACCAGTTTGTATGCAGCAGCTGTTGAAATCAATCGACCTCAGTTCCCTCTGCGAAATCCGGTGAATACGGTGGTTGATCGATGGTATTGAACGAGTTTTTGGCGCATTATCGCCATGAAAGTTTCCGAAAAAGTGTTGGCCTACAATTCCTACAAGATGAACCAAACCGCGAATATCGAAAAAAAAAAATCCGGAAACTTTCTGGTCTTAAGGTTCATATTACAAAAATTTAAGAACTACATCGTGCGCACCACGGCACATGCGTATTGAAATTTGATATTTTAATTCGGAATATTTAATCCAGATGGCAATATTTGTTTTGTATTCCGAATGCTTCTTTGATGACGTCATTGTGCTAGTATTACTAGTATACAAGGTGTGTTAAAAAAAATATCGCGAATTTTGTGTTTTTTCAAAAATTATTTATTTATTCATGAATATCTATTTTGTCCCCTTCAAAGTAATCCCCATGAGATATTATACACTTGTACCAACGGTTTTTCCAATCTTCGAAGCAATCCAAAAAATCAATTTTTTTTATCTTGTTTAGCTCCTCCTTCGATGCCGTCTTTATCTCGTCAATCGTAGCGTAACGTCGTCCTTTAATGAGCCTCTTCAGTTTAATGAACAAGAAAAAGTCACAGGGGGCCAGATCTGGGGAATAAGGTGGCTGCGGCATCATTAGTGTGTTGTATTTGGCCAAAGATTCGCGCACAAGCAACGATGTGTGAGCAGGGGCGTTATCGTGGTGCAAAAGCCAATTTTTGTTCTTCCACAAATCCGGGCGTTTCTGGCGGATTTCTTCGCGCAAATTGCATATAACTTGCAGGTAATATTCCTTATTGACCGTTCTACCCTGTGGCAATACCATTTTCTCCACCTCATTAATATTTCCGTCTGTTGTTGAAGTGCTCGGGCGTCCGGCACGCTCTTCGTCGTTCACATCTTCTCGGCCTTCTGAGAACATTTTGTACCACCGATAAACGTTGCTTCGGTCCAAGGTAGCTTCTCCGTATGCCACAGTCAACATTCGGAATACATCCACGCACTTAATTTCGTTTTTCACACAAAATTTGATACAGGTTCTTTGATCCATTTTTTTTAATAGGTAAAAATCGAAGACCATCCAAAACACGTGCAAGCAAAGCAGCTGTCAACAATTAAGTGAACATTCAAAATGGCCGAGCTTGTCGGCATAAACGACAGACATGAGTACCAACATAACGCCACAAAAAAATCGAAATTCGATTATACGTAACCCGCCAAAATTCAAAATTCGCGATAATTTTTGAACACACCTCGTATACGAGTATACATATTATTGGCGCTTTGAAACCGTTGAAACGATTTTTTTGCCGAGCTCCTTCTCCAATTTGTGGTTTTGCGTATAGATATTTTTTCCAACAAATGTAAGGACCTAAAGTTTATACTAAGCCGCCTCCGAACGGCTGATGGGTTTTTATGAGAAGCCTTTATTTCATGTCAGAAATAGGCTCGGAGGGGTTGATATTCTTTGCGGAGGGGCGACTGAAGTTAGAAAAGGTAACTTAATCTTATATTTAAATTAACCACTCGTGTACCACGGCCTCCAATATAGTCAGTTAAATATTATAAATATTTATAGACTCACTGTTCCGAGCCATACAAATTAATTGTATGCCCCAAATGATTAAAGAGAAAAGACTTTAAACTCTGATTAAGGGCTATGCCCCAATCAGCTAAACTACATGTGAGTCATATCCCAGCAGGAAATATTTTACTTGCCACGGGCCTTTATTTTCCAAATCAAATAACAAGGCAGTGACTAAGCCTCTATGGCTGTGAAACAATAAGCCCAAATTTTGAACTCTGTAGCCGAACAATAGTTTGCTATTAATTTTCATCTTCTACATGGAATAACTTACCTTGATTCAAAGTTGTATTTTGGTCTTTTAATGAATAAGAACTGAGGCAACAAGTTTACAAAAATGCACTTTACCCATGGCGCCATTCGATGGGTTTGTGGCGAGCGAAAGTGGACGTTCAAAACGACTACGGTTACACAAATGCTTAAGAAATTAAACAGATAATATTTTGTTGAGTTATATTTGATATTTCAAGTACTTGATAAGCCCACTTACCTGATTGACACTAATATCATTGCAAATATTAAATATTTTCCTAACAGCGGTACGACTAATGAAGTCGGAGGAATAATTTCAACAACTAATAGAAAGAACACATGCAAACTGATGAGTATGGAGATCGATAATGTGACCTAAAAAGAATAGAAAATAATGGTATTGTTATTGTTTTTGTATGTTTATTATTAAGTAGTTTCAACGTAAATGGTATTTTCAAATATTCTAAAAAAAATTTATTATGCGGTCTAGCTAACGTGATTATATTGACCGATAGAAATATTATCTATTATATAAAATTCTCGTGTCACAGGGTTAGGCACGATACTCCTCCGAAACGGCTTGACAGATTTTGATGAAAGTTTAGGTGTATAGTCAGTAGCACTGAGAATAATACGTATTTTTCATAACCGGAAGAGGACCTGGAACCGATTTATTCAAAAAAGCTCTTATGTCCGTTTGTAACGGGTGTTCTCCAGAAGTAAGAGACCGATTGACTTGAAATTTATTTGTTTCTGGGAAGGGTTTCATGAAGAAAATATCTGGAAGTGGACCAAGGACTGACCTATTCGAAAAAATCTTATATATCATAGTATGGTTCGATATTCTTGAAATTCGGTTCACAGGTGTATTTTTGCTTACATTAACAGAAAGACTCTTCTTCTCTTCGAAAAGTAATAAAAGTCATAAAGATTTATATGCTTCGGTCGTTATCCCGCATATTTCATTTCCTGGATGGCGATGTTTTGTGTTTTAGTTTATAGCGAATTGTTAACCAGCTTGGCCGAGGCATCTTCGCTATTAAGGAACCGGACATTCTAGGTGCATTCGGCTAAATCATAGTCCTTAATACAGTGGTTGTCATCGAAAACGGATGGTCTGATCGGAGATTTTGTAAATTTTTTCATTGGAGCTGGCTTCTACGTGGTGAATCCCAAACGATACGCACAACATAGGCAGGCAAAGCGGAATTAGCTGGATCAGATTTATAAAACGAACCATTGGCTTCAAAAACCAATTGCCCGTACACAGTTAAACCTGACTATGAAATAAGACTTTAGCAGACTATTTATTATGGCTTCACTAAAGCTTTGCATAGGGTTTCCAACGTCTAGAGTAGGAATTGAGTAAAGCGCTGCGGCTGTAGCCTATTCCCAGTAGAAAAACACTACCCAATTACACTGAAAATATTATTAAATAAGATATTATACATCGTAAATATATACGATGTAAGGAAACTCACAGATGGGCTGAAAGTAAGCTACAATACGAGTATCTTATGCGAAATATATAAATTTACCTTTTCTCCGCTATCCGATGGTAAGTAGAAAGTTAACACTGTTAAAAAAGAAATTCCCATACATGGAATGATGATGTTAACTGTATAAAAAAGCGTCTTTCTCCTCATTGTTATATTAAAAGTAATATCCAAATATGGCTCGTCACAACATGTGTAGAACTTTTCGTTTCTGTAGAAAAATAAGTATAAAATAAGTATCTATTGCAAACTTAGTTTTTGTTGTGATTCAGCCAAAATGAGTTAAAAATATCACTTCAAATTTTACTCACTTTTTGACTACATCTCGGAAAAATAATATATATTTAAACATTTAGGGAAATACCTTTGCACAAAAATTCCAACCCTAAGAAATATGAAGGTTGAGTTTAGGTCTCTATCTTACCTGACTGCCGGCACTTCGAGGATATCCCATTCCACAGACATGTAAAATTCAGATAGATCTACTCCAACATCTACAATATTATTGCCTTGTTGTTCGTCCATATGTCGAAGATCAACCTAAGGAAATTTTATCAGAGATGTACATACATATGTAAATATTTCCAATATTTTGTGGCAGATATAAAAGGAATATATATATGGCGGCCGCGTTGGCCGAGTGGTTAACGTTTATAGCTGAGATATTTAAATTTTTATTGTACAATCGAAGACCGAGTTTTGATTTATGGTTTTGCGTCTTGATGTTTTTCCAACAAATGGCGAGACATACAGTTTATATTTGATTACTTACTGACTTACTTTGCTGGCGTAGACAGCGCTTACGCGATTACAGCCAATTTAACTAAATCGTGCTATCGTGCTTTGTTCTATCTGGCGCCAGTTGAAATGCCAACTGAAGCCAGGTCACTCTTCACCTGATCCTTCCGACGGCGTGGTGGTCTTCTCTTCCTCTGCTACCACCGGCGGGTACTGCATTGAATACTTTCAAAACTGGATTGCTTCCACCTATTCGGACGACATAACCTAACCGTAGCCGCTGCTTCTTGATTCGGTGAACCATATCAATATCGCCGTATAACTCGTACAGCTCATCGTTCCATCGTCTGCGATATTCACCGTTACCAACACGCAAAGGACCATAAATCTTACCCAAAGCTTTTCTCTCGAATGTTGTCATCGTCCATACTTCCGCCCCATATAGTAAGACGGGAATGATGAGCGACTTGTAGAGTTTGGTTTTAGTTCAACGAGAGAGGTTTTTACTTTTCAAATTGTCTACTCCGCCCAAAGTACCACCTGTTAGCAGGAGTGATTCTGCGTTGTATTTCAAAGCTGACGTTATTATTGGTGTTAATGCTGGTTCTTAGATAGACGAAATTATCTACGACTTCAAAGTTATGACAGTAAACAGTGTCGTAGAAGAAGCAGCACTAACAGCGCGGCTATTGCGGGCGCTTATGTTAATATCATCATCATCTGCGTACGCCAGTAGTTGTACACTCTTATAGAAGATAGTACCTTGTTCTCTATTCAGCTCGGCAGCTCTTATTATTCTCTCCAGCATCAAAGTGAAGAAATTACAAGAAAAGAGTCACCCTGTCTGACAACACGTTTCGTATCGACCGGCTCGGAGCAGTCCTTCCCGATAATGACGAAGCTTTTTAGTGCTTGCCAAATACCGGTGACTTGCGAAGCCTTTTAATTCCTTACATACTTGGCACCTCTTTCTCGCGTTACTTAAGACTTAATCTCATTCATTCGACCAATAAGCTTAAAACTGGTATATAGTTGAGTACTAATATAATCGATCGTCGCCTATTTGCAGCAGGTCTACGAGCTGTTATTTTGTTTTTGGTCTCTCAAAGGTCGTTAAACCGTTTGACTAGCTAATGGAGATCTTCTCAATTGCATTGAAATTTGGTGGACACAATTTTCTTTCGTTGTGAATAATATAGCAACATTAATTCTCTATTCTGGAAACCCTTTGAGTTCATCGCCTTATCATATTTGACCTTCTTCTTATCATTGATAATTTGAGTTCGCTGTTTCACAAGATCATTTTTTATTCCCAAATTGTAGGGGAACAAATCCGTTACTATTTTAGATTTCTGGTTTGGAATTGAGTAGACCTCCGGGCGTTTGGTAAATTAGACCATGATCACAAGGACGTATTAGTTTCCTTGTATGCTCATATGGAATGCATCGGTTATATTCATGTAATGACTTCTGAATTTCGGTAATTCAGCTGAAATACACTTCTTGCAGCTTGCTATCCATCCAGCGGCCAAGTGATGATAATCAACCCAATAGAACCACTGTTTCAACTTTTCCCAGGTACCATTTTTAGATTGTGATAGCATCGATCACCTTCAATTTCCCATTCCTTTGGTAAGCAGCTAGATATCAATTTTAATTTGGTTTATTACTGGGTGCATGCCTTTACAATTAGACTTTCTGCTAACGCCTGCTCTATACCTAGCCGTAAGTACATCTCCAGTCCATGCATGATAAGTTTTAATTCCGGATCTCCCGGATGACATTTACATAAGTGCCTTGCTTGTTTGATATCAGGTGTACAACTTTGCTTTATTGCGAAAAAGTGCTTACAGATATATTATTTAAAGTATTGTCCTTCGCTAGCGACAACTTTCTCCCATCTTTCCGGCAATTTTCGGATCCCGGCTCCATTTTTCCAATTATTCGAAGGATTGAAAATGTTGATATACCAGGCCGTGTGCCTTCGTACGGAATAGGTGGAAGTCAGAAGGGGCGACATCTGGGGAATACGGCGGGTGGGGCAAGACTTTCCATTTCAGCGTTTCCAGGTATATACTTTATGACCACTTTTGCGACGTGAGGCCGAGCATTGTCGTGTTGGAGGATGACTTTGTGATGTCGCTCTTGATATTGTGGCCGCTTTTCTTTTAACGCGCGACTAAGGCGCATCATTTGCGTTCGGTAGCGATCTCCTGTGATGGTTTCACTCGGTTTTAAGGGCTCGTAGTAAATCACACTGAGCTGATCCCACCAAATACACCTTCCACCACCATTTTTGTCGTCGACATCGAAATCACCACGAAACGTTGAAACCACTCCCGACGCATTCTTTTACTCAGAGCAGCATCACCGTAAGTTTCTGAGAGCATTCGATGCGCTTCAGCTGCATTTTCTTTCGAATTGTAACAGAAAAGTAAAACTTCCCGCAAATGGCACATGAACGGACATTTTCGAGCGTGAATAATACGAAAACAAGAACAACTGTCACTGAAACGGCGATGACAATTCGTTAGGCACTGTCCACACTCATTTCAACCAGCCTCAGCCGGTACAGCCACCTATCGGAAAACGGCTGAAGCAAAGCTGTACACCTGATACAATCCGCCAAAGCTGTCAGTTCTCTCGATCTTATGCAGTAGTTCGCTCTGATTTTCCATAAAACCGCTTATATTAAGTAACTCTCTCTTTCTGTCGATCATTTACCTGTGAAAGTACGCCTGCTATGGCATGATTTTCTACAAGTCCCAGGACTGTCTTTGCCGGTTTCACAATTACTACTTTTGTCCTTGAGAAATATCAGAGCTTCCTGTATCTCCTTCGTCATATCTGGTCAAGTCTCTTGCAGGTCCCTTCAACGCAATGAATAGTGTAGCGGGCTTCTACTCTATCAAAGGTGTATGTTAAATCGTATGTGTTTAATTGGACAATTTTGATATAAAAACTAGTGGCCTAGAATGAACATTTGCTGGAAAAAACATTTGATACGCAAACCACAAATTGAGCTCGGCCTTTTTTCATCCGTAGTCCGTAATTAAAATGTTTAAGCATTTAGAATTTTGATATGGTTTCGATTTTTTTTTTCAAATTTCTTATTCGCGGGAGAGCAACCGTCTCTGGAGCCAATCTGACTTATTCGGTTTAAGAATCCGCTGAAGTCTAAATATAGCGCCTGTTCTCCAAAGGTGCAGTTGCAAGAGGGATCGGGTCTTGATGAAAGCGACTGGCTATATTAATATGTAAAAAATTTCAACTTACTTGTCTAGCGAAGTTTGGGACCCTCCACGTACAAGTCAACTCCAGTGAAAATTGTTGGATGAGATACCCCCTTTGACCTGTATATTCGAATTAAGGGTCACGATAAGAGCGCCTGCACCTGTTTGATAACTTAATTGGAAAGGTGCCACTGCTCAGCTGGTTGGTGTCCTCGAAAACAGAAAGGAGAACATCACCGCCACCTAAGAAGTGTACTGGACATGGACGGAAGCGAGTAGTTCTTTGTGAAATTTACTACAGCAGCCATATTATGCAGTCCAAATTTGGTGCCGGGCTCGTGGTCGGAGGCAGATAGAGTCCCGGAGTACTGGCAAGTGAAATTTTTTAACATATCGTTTATTGGCGTCCCCGTTCCGACAGAGGAGAATGACGATATTACCAAAAAATACATTCTACGAACGCCTAGCGCGTTCTCATGAGCGTTGGCCCGCCACGACGTTAGAATTGTGACATTAACGCTATGGCGGGCAAAGAAGGTATTTTTGGGACGACAGTCGGAAAATTCAACCTCAACGCCGAAACATACATACATTGGCTGAGCTTGATCGACTTCAACAGGGTTCGAAATATGCTTATTTGGAGTATTAGACTCCAGCCGAGGAGTGTCATCAAGCTACTTGGTTGCTCCCTGATCGAAAAACTTAAGACCAGATCGGTCATTTTGTAATAGACAGCGGGCATGTACCAAGTGTTCTTGAAGTGTGTACATTCCGAGTACCTAACATTGACTTGGACCACTATCTTGTTGCCACAAAGAAAGCCTCCGTGCAGCAAAGAATGCAGGTCAACAAACGCAAGGAAGGTTCGACTTAGAAAAGCTGCAGTTACAGCAGACCGAACGGTTTCCTACCAGACATCCACTTTTGCTCCCTGAGAGCTCTGATCAGCAACTTAGTATAAAAGAACTGTGGGATAGAATTTCTAGCACCCTACACGTACTTACGAAATGACACTATTCGAATAGGTTTTACAACAGCAGTGGAGAAAACATACTACCCACCTCGCAAGCCTGCGATCGACCACAACCCGTGCGGGGTGGAATAGATACCGAGAGTTGAAGAGGCTGAAATGCATGAGTATGAAGAGCTTGAGAAGTCGAAAGATACGGTGACTTAAAGAAGCTTGCAAGACCGGAGATAACTTTTGTAGGACCCATAGAGGTAATCTAAAGATAGATACCCAGGGTATATTGAATTTTAGGAGGGAACACTCTGCGACCTTCTAAGTGGCTGTGAATATGGAAAACACGGTCTTCTATCGATGACTGTGGAACATTCATTCCCCGACTGTAAATAATTGCTATTGCAATAGGCAGGGTGAAGAACAACAAAGTGGCTGGGGCCGATGGAATACCGGTCAAGCTATTCAAATGCGGCGGCGAAGAGATGATAAGGCTACCATTACTTGGCCCGATTGGAACCAAAGTGTACAATGCCCATTGGACTTTATCAGTGACCATTGGCCAGATATTCACCACTCGCGAAATCTTGAAAAAGACCCGTGAAAAGAGAATCGACACACCCCACCTCTTCGCCGATTTTAGGCTGCCTTTGAAAGCGTGAAAAAGAGCTGCCTCAACACCGCCATGTCTGAATTCGGTATCCTCGCAAATCTTATATGGTTATGTAAACTGACGTTAATCAACTCCGTACGTAAGCTTCGTCAGTATTGGGAAGAAGCGAGCCGTTCTAGACCAAAAGTAGTTTCAACCAAGGCGATTCGTTATCGCACGACTAATTCAGTTTTTTGCGAAAGTAATAAGGACTGCAGATCTGAATAGAAATTGCACAATGCCCTATAAAAGTGTACAGCTTCTGGGGTGCGCGGATGAACATTATTGACTTCAACGACGGCTCGGTGGGTTCTGCTTTCTCCAGACTAGATAAGTATTAATTTTCTATAACTTTTCTTTTTGATGTTGATCAAGCCAGGATTCGAACCTTAGCCTTCAGAATGGCAATACGCAATGCTCACAACTCGGCTACCGCGACCGCAGCACATTATGCGCTTAAAATAATATTGCTTAATTACCTTAAATCCATCATATGTCCAACTGCCAAACTTGAGAACGCAAGTTTGTTCATCAAACGGAAAGTATTCTACATCAATTTCGCATGAAGATTTGTAGATAGCTGGAGGCTTCCATTCAACTAATCCTTCTGAGTAAATCGTGGCTTTCGTCGCAAGAGTAACCTCGAAGTTACCATCGGCACTATTGAGTTAAGCAGAAAAAAAATTATTAGGCGAAGAATTCATCATTAAAATATTTGTATGTACATAATAAAAAATTATTCGCAAAATCCATATCCATAGTTTTGTATAATTGTTGACTGCCGTCATTTGTGATAAATGACTGCAATTTCAGCTCAAGCAGAGAACTTAGAATATCGAGAAGGTGCAAATTCGTTGCAACATCGAACCTACTTCAAACATTTACTGAAAAACTTTGGGAAAGGCATTCACCACACCGGGAAAGGGATTCACCATACTTTCTATAACAGCCACTGATTAAGCCAGAGATCAGAATGGATTTTCTGCTAAAAACAGAGAAATCATATTCAATTATTTTTTCAATTTGGCTAAATAAAAATTTAAATATGTACCTAGCATTTTTAATATCTGTTATGTTACTATTATAAGTTCTCTGCTTCTCGTTATTCTAAGTTCTCTGGTATAGTAAACATACACATATATGTAGAAGACTTTCGGATATGTCAACGAAAATACTTATGGCTCAGTTATGGGAACTCTTGTTCTAACTACAAAACTAAGCCAAAAGATCCGAATTCAGATTTTACTTACTCGTTTTTAATAATACCTTTCTGTAAAACGAATAGCTATGTTGTTCACTTAATAAATTTAATACTCACTTATTGTATAGAACGATGTCCGGACGCCAGATATGATCTGATGGCACATGCAACATATGTACACCACCATATTCTTTGGGCTCCCATCGCAGCTTGTAGTCATACCAAGACTGTAAATTGGTAGATTAATGCTAATTGAAAACTTGTATTTTTTTAATTTTTGATTTTAATTTGGCAATTCCAATATATGTATGTAAAATAAAATTGAACAGGATATACAAAATGTACTTCTTCACTCTGAAAAATATCGAATTAAAACTAGCACGCTATTGGATTGTTCTTTTCGCCACTTTGCGCCAACTGGAGATGCTAATTGAAATCTTGTAATTTTCTTTCTGACCTTTTTAAAGACTTGAGGACCACTTCTTCCGTTGCTTTCACCAGCGGGTACTGGATTGCATACCTTTATCTCTATTTCTCTATTTCTTTGTTCATTGAACAATGGCAATGTTCCCATTTCGTGTGTAATCTTGGATCCCGGCTGCAAGAGCAAGCTTCAGAGGAGCTGAAGACTAATTCCAGCGTCTGTTCACCCAAAGTGCGGCTGCGTGCGGACGTCAGACATAAAGTAAGAGGTTCGCTACGTAAACACCAACTTTTATGAAACATTTATACATGCATCGTATGAGATACCCGCCTTCTGATGACGACCCTGTTACCGAGAACTGGCTTTCGTCCCGCTGGATGAACATAAAGTAAGAGGTTCGCTACGTAAACACCAACTTTTATGAAACATTTATAAATGCATCGTATGAGATACCCCCCTTCTGATGACGACCCTGTTACCGAGAACTGGCTTTCGTCCCGCTGGATGAACTTCTCGCCCCAATCCGTATCAAAGCGAAATTATTCAACACAACCCTGATTTGCGCCCGCTCCCCGATGGATGCCTCAAACATACTTATGAGCGCTATTCCCGCCGCTATGTAAAAACCGTGCTTGGCGATTGTCATGCTAGGGTGGGCGAAAAAGGTATCTTTGGTATAACTGTCGGAAAAATCAACTTTCACAACGAAACATCCCCTAATGGATTGAGGCTGTTCGACTTCGCCGGAGCTCGAAATATGGTTATCTGTAGTACTAGATTCCAGCATAAGAAAATTCAACAAGTTACTTGGCTGCCTCCATATCGTCACGGATCAGTATTTATCGCAGCGAAGGTACGGACGCGCCTCTGTATATCAAAGACAGACACTGCCGAGCTGTTTTCTAATCAACTTGCCCTCCTGTCCTCTAACAGCACTCAGCAGCATCTCGGTATAAGGGAACTACATATAGAAGCAGACTCTTGTAGGACCCAGAGAAGTGATCTAGCCACCGATGTCCAGAGCATACTGAATTTATGAAGGGAACACTTCCCCAGTCTACTGAATAGCAGTGAAACTGATACATTCGGGTATGGTGAGCGCGAAACTCCAACGATGGAAAGGCCTATCCATTATCCGATTACCTCGAGGTTCAAGTAGCGATTGCCCGTTAATGAACAAAAAGTGGCTGGAGCTGACCAGCAGAGATATAAAAATATGGCGGTGAAAAGCCAAAAACGTTCATGCATCAGATACTTTGCAAAATATTATCGAACGAAAGCATGCCCGAGGGTTGGAATTTAAGTGTGCTCTGCCCAATCTATAAAAAAGGTGACGTGGTATAAGCCTCCTTAATATCGCTTCTAAGGTCCTATTAAGCGTATTGTGTGAAAGACTAAAGCCCTTTGTCAACAAACTGATTGTAGCTCATTAGTGCGGCTTTAGACATGGTAAGACAAGATTTGACCAAATATTCACGATGCGCCAAATCTTGGAAAAGACCCGTAAAAAGATGACCATCTCTACGTCGATTTTGAAGCAGCCTTAGACCGGATGAATAGGAGCTACCTTTACGCCGCTTTGTGCGAATTTGCTATACTCGCAAAACTTATACGGTTATATAAACTGAGCGTGGACAACACCGAAAGCGCAGTCAGATTTGGGAAGCTTCTCTCTGAGCCGTTTCATGCCAAAGGATGTTTCCGACAGGGGGATTCCTATTGTGTGATTTCTTCAATTTCAATGAATAGAGAAGGTGCAATATTCTGTAAAAGTATACAGCTGCTGGCATATGTCGATGATATTGATCTTATTGGCCTCCGGCGCCAGGGCCGGGAGTTCTATTTTCTCCTGACTGGATAAGGAAGCGACGCAAATGAGTCTGATAGTGAACGATTGTAAGAAGAGTCGGCTCTCATGTCCAGCATTATCACCAATAATAATGTTGGCCTTAAAATCCAATGTAGAATCATTCTTGTCAACACGTCCTTTTTTGGACTGAGAAGGCAATTGAAATGTAAAGTCCTCTCTCGACGAACCAAAAAAAAAACTTTATAAATCGCTTATCGCTCCCGTCTTGCTATATGGTGCGGAGGCATGGACGACGACAACATCTGATGAGTCGGTTCTAGGAGTTCTCGAGAGAAAAGTTTTACGAACGATTTATAGTACTTTGCGCATTGGCAACAGCGAATACTACAGACGAAGGAACGAATGGTTCAGCACATGAAGAGACAGTGGCTACGCTTTGAAAGTATTCGTTGCAGTACCCGCTGGTGAAAGCAGAGGAAGAGGAAGACCTCCACTCCGTTGGAGGGATCAGGTGGTATTTCCAACTGGTGCCAGATAGCGAAAAGAAGTGAGGAATAGTGGGCTAGTATTGATTCGGCTATAGTCGCGTAAGCGGTGCCAAAGCCAATAAAGAAGAAGATATATATACAATACATAATTGGCGTTGTGTAACCGCTGCAGCGATTCAGCCGAGCTCTTTCTTCTATTCGTGGTATGCGTCTTGATGTTTTCTAAAAAAAATGGGACCTGCAGTTTATACTAAGTCCCTCAGACCGAAAAGTGACCGCAACTAGAAACTTTAACTTAAATTTTTTAATTAAATTAATTTTCTATAATATTCGGATGTTAGTCGGACCAGAACTCGAACCTGGTCTTCCGAATGGCAGTACGCAGCTGTATCATCCGAGAAAGTAGATGTTTGTATCTTTTGATCTACTATGATAGTATATCTGCTATGTATATATTGTAATATATTATATAGGCTCAAAAACAGTACTTTCAGGAAAACCAGCTTGAAAATGGAAGCTCGTCAGTGATAAATTTCCATTGGTTTTTCGGTATACCGCCCGTTATAGAGAACCATGTTTTTAACGAAACCTCAATTGATATTCCAGTATCACTTTTTTACAATGTAGGGATGGAAATAACTTAGATATTAGAATTCTTTCGAATAAGTTTAGGATTAACGCTTCACTGAGTAACAGGGTACCAGTCTGGCAATCTTTTCGTTACTTGGTTTAATTCTTTATTGCTTTTGATTCGTTGCCTAAAAAGTCTATTCCATTTATCGAGAATCGTGATTACTTTTAAAAAATAGTTGGTACAGCTGCACAGCCTGTAGCGAATGTTACTTCTATTGTAAGCCATAGAAATAAGCGGCGAGACCTACAATTGGCGATGGTGAAAACGTTAGGCGAGTCCAAAGAACACACCCGTGAAGCAGACGCCGTATAGCTGCAAATGAAATTATTGGTTTTCGGCAGTATAAAAAAGCTTGTACGACTAGAATTGCCACATCGTGGGGGAGAGACAACAGACTGCTTACTTCACAACACGTGCAAGAAAGCGCCTTGGGGGGCCCAAGCACAGGTTGTCTGTGTGAGCGGTCTCTAAATTTCTACTGGTAGCTTAAAGTTCTTCTCGGTACTAAAATTACAAAACCACTTGGAGCACTCTTCCGCTCCGCATCAAACATGTTGTTCAGTATGGGTACGAACCGCTTGAAGATCTCTGGTTGTTATATTGCAACTTATTCAATTTTTATCCACAGTGCTTGTTTACATTTAAAGTAGTATAAAATTCGTTGCTCTCTTTTCCTCTTCATGTTTGCCCTTGTTTCATGACTCCAGTGAACTTAAGGGAAAAATTACACTAACGGAAAATGTGCCCAAATCTGGTTATATGAGGGTAGCGCCTTTATATGGTTTAGTTATAATAATTATCTGATTTTTTCCATATTGGATAATATTAAGTTTAGTATAAAGAAATCCATTATTTTCGCAAAAAATTGAATGGTTTAATTTTGTTTTTTCGTATCCAGCCTTATTCAAATGGTTCCAAACGGGTTTTTGTGCAATTTTTAGCTCTTGGGTAATCGAAACAGGGTTTACATGACGGTTGAACTCTTATTACACCCAATATCATAGTATTAATATATAGGGTTGCCCCAAAAGAAACCGGCGATTTTTCATTCAGACGCCGCTGACAATTTTTTTCTGAGCAGCTTGTGACTATTTAGTTGTATTTTCTCTTTTAACAGTTATTTTTTAGTTATAAGCTGTCACTTATACTATCATATATTTTACTTTATTATTTCCTTAAAGGAAAAAATGCAGCGCTGGTTGATAAAAAGTTGCTTAATTCGTATGGCGATAAGGCCTTAAAAGAAATACAGTGTCGAAGGTGGTATAACAAATTCCGGTCGGGAGCTTCTTTACTCAAAGATAAGACACGTTCAGATAGGCCAAGTGAAGTTAATGATGACGATTACAAGGCATTAATCGAAGCTGAGCGTGTTATCGGAGGGAAGTTAAGTATATCAAAAGCAAACGTTTATTATCATATACGCCGTCTTGAACTGGTAAAAAACTTGATATTTGGGTATCAACTGAATTGAAAGAACGCAATTAATATGATCCGTTTTTTAATCATAACTGGAGATGAAAAATGGTTTATTTACAATAACGTCAATCACTTCGGTGGAATTGGAAGGGTGTGGTGTATTTTGAGCTAATTCCAAGGAACCAAACGATTAATTCGGATATCTAATGTAAACAACTGGACAAATCATCTATCAACGGGAAGCGGCAAGAATTGGTCAATCGTAAAGGTGTCTAATTTCACCAAAACAATGCTAGACAGCTATGGTCACTCGCTAAAAATCTCAGAGAGCTTGGCTGGGAGCTGTTAATGCATCCACCACATAGCAATGACCTTGCACCATCAGACTACCATTTGTTTCGATTTCAGAACTCACTAAATGGTAAAACTTTCGAAAATTACGAGACTATAATATCCCACTTGGTTGTGTTTTTTTTTTTTGCAGATGAAGACCAGAAGTTCAATGAGGGTGGGTTTAATGATATTGCCGGAGAGATGGCAAAGGTCATCCAACAAATTACATAATTGCATTAAGTTCATTATAAAATTAAAAAAAAATATTTACATTCTTTTCAAAAACCCCCGATTTTTCTGGGGCAACTCTTGTTATTTCAGTATCTTTGGTGTGATATGATATCATACAGGAGATTTTTTTGAATCTGGGATGGTAGTAATCTTTCTCAGCTCAGAAACAGATGTTTCGCAAGAAATAGCGAATCTCTGGACATAAAGATAAGCTTACTAGTTTTTTAAAGCGGATTTTTATTTGAAGTATTGGGTGACAAAGACGTTATGAAAACTCTTTGCTTTTTTCTGAAATTTTTCACGGGTGAACGGTAAACTTTCCATTCGCGGGTTATGCGGCACTGGTATCTGGTTCTGATAAAACCCGATTTCACTGTTAGTTATGATTGTTCTAGTTTTTGCTGTGTTAACTGTTCTAATGTACTTCCAAGGCTAAGGGACTAATACACAATAGTATATACATATTTAGCACACTTACTTGCTCAACCCATAAGTTCGTTGTCATTATTTGATTTTTTAGATTCTGTAAAATAAATAAAATAATCATATATGTTATAAATGATGTATACAAGTAACATATTTTACATAATCAAGCGCAAAAAATTAAACATAGGTAATATAATTCGTAGAGCAGACTGAAATCTTTCTATTGAAGAGGTGTTTTCCGATTTTTCGGAAATTTGCAGTCTATTTTCTACCATTTATTATTTCGTTCACGCATTTTTCTATCAAAAAAAAAAGAATTCCCCGTTGCACGTTCTTAAAATTCAGAAACTAACTTGATGCTTTTTAATAATAACAACAATTTTCTACGCCACGTTGTCTAAAATAGTGTTAAATCGTTAAAACAGCAGCCAGTAATTTTAAAATTAAGCTTATCGATGAGTTTTTGCAATTTCGGATAACTAAGCCAAAGATAATATCAGAGAAATAACGAGAAGAACCGATTGCGGACGGCATGTGAACTGCCAGAATCGGCGAACGAAATAAGAGACTATTTCACCACTGCCGTCAGAAATCGGCTCTGTACATTTCTGAGCAAGATAATAATAAATTATTAAAAAATTTGTCTCCCAAATATCATTCTTCTGTAAATAATTTGTCAGTCTCTGGTACTTCGCTGTTAACTAGCGGTGAAATAGTCTCTTACTAATATCGTATAGAGGTGAAACAGTCTCTTATCATACCGTAGGTAGGACAAAAGGCAATCGGCACGACCTGGTCTTTCTCTTTAATATACGTTCACTGATAATAAGACACGAAACTCTTTATCTCGTTGCCACTAAGGTGAAGCTATATTTGGATATGAATGCATACAAGCTTTGAGTATAATATAATTAATCATTAAATGTACTTTGCATACTCTTAAAACCCTATTTTAACGAAAATAATGGGAATCCCATCCGACCAGCTAATCCTTATCTATTTTTAAACCCACTATTACTGTCAGAAATCTATATAGAATTTTTTGTAATAAAAAGTTAAGCCCAACAAGATATGTTAGTGTTTACAGTCTAAGTTGTATTACTGTTAACTCTTCTCAACATTCTTCCTCTGTACCTATACCGGAAACTACAAACGGGCCATCAGACTGAATACTGCTCAACCTTGGAATATTTGCAGTGTAGGACACACCAAAATATTATATCTAGCAGAAGTGTCAAAGGAGCTAGACTACACCACCTCGTGCATGTGCTTTGAAAATCGTTTCTCCCCGAGAATCTCAAACAGGTGTGAGTGGGAAACTACCAACGCCCCCGACCAAAGAGCCATAGCCATTTTCACAGATGGCTCGCAGCTTGGTGGAAAAGTGGGGTGCGAGATTTATTCTCCCATGCTTTCTTTGAATATGAGCATGAGACTACCAAACCACTGTGTCGTTTTCTAGGCAGAACTCTTTCATGGAGGCTGCTGATTGCTTGCATAAATCGATGGCAGCAGGACAATCGGTTTCAATATACTCCGACAGTCAAGCTGTAATCAAATCTCTCCAATGTAATGGCTCCACGTCAAAAGTGGCTATAAACTGTAGAAGCTTTCTCAACAAACTCTCCACTAAATATAGCACTGCCGTTGTCTGCATGCAACTGCATGGCGGACGAACTAGCAAAGGAAGGAACCCTTCTACCCACGATGAAGCATACACCCGATGCTGGTTTACCTCTGTCCACGGCAAAGCGCATGTTAAAACTAGCTTTTACCAGAGAAGCTAACTCAAAATGGTTGAACGAGATTACGTGTAACGTGACCAAACAGCTATGGCCGAAGTTGGACGCGAAAAAATCCAAACATTTTATGCTTCTAGACCGGTTCTCCATTAGCATAACGACGGGCATAATAACTAGACACTATTTAATGGGGCTTAACGGGAAAAGAATGAGATATCTCTAATGAGCGTGATACAAATTTCTTGAGAAACATTTCTTCGATTGTCTCGCTAATATTGAAGATCTCGTTGCCTTTATAAGGCACACGAAATGGTTCGATCATCTAAGAAGGTGGAGGCAGGAGCCTCAGCGGTAACACAATGGGCCTATTGGCCTAAGTGTGCCGGCAGCAGCAGCCGCATCAACTCAACTCAACTCTAGATTGAACGTTCGAAGCAGTGGTAAGAGTATATACCTGGTGATGACTTTCTGATGTGGCGTTTGCGACGTATTCGTTTTCCCGAGGCGCTGATCCTAAAATTTTCAGGAAAATTTATAGCTCTGACTTTACAAGGGAATGAATATTGGTTACTTGAAACGGGACAACGATACTTGAGATGAGATTAACTGGGCTCCGAAACAGTTATTGAGGTTTTTTGATATAAATATCAGTTAGTGTCTTATAAAAAACCAATATTCCCAGGTTACCTAATATTCTGACGTTTTGGTACGATATACCATCTTGTAATCGAAATATTACATGCCGAGCGACGATATGTATTAATGAGAAGTTTGGGATAGCACATGGTTTAATATTTTTGGATGACTTTTTGTCTATTCCGGTTTCAAAATGCTACGCTAGCTGTTTGGCAGAAAAATAATAACAATTTTTCTAAATTAGGATTTCGAACCCTCCTTGGCGGAAATTTCAGATCCTTAAATTCCTTATAAAAAATTCTTCAGCCTTTCGAAGGCGGCGCAGAATAAACTATTGGCACCTCAGTTTGTTGAAAAAATATCAAGACGCGCATCACAATAGTTTTAAATAAATTATTAATATTTTGTTTCGATGCTTCTTAATTTCTATTACATTTACAGGGTGCGCCATCTAGATGTATCCTATTTCAACATTGAATAGCTCCGCCATTTTTCAGCCGATTTTGACAGATGAACACAATTCTGAAACGTCATTCAGTGCCATTTTAGCTATGAGACGATACACACCGAAAGAACGCGCTGAAATCGTAGCCTTATTTCTTCAAAGTTGGAGAGACCATTGACGGTGCACGCTACCGTTGGATTTTGGCGCACTTTGTCTGTCCATAAATGCAGAAAAAAGGTCTAAAAAACTTTTATTTTCAACAAGACCACCACACCGCAGCCGCTACGATCAAGTTTTTGCAGAGCAAGTTCTCAGGACGCATTATCTCAAAAAATGCCGATTTGAAGTGGCCTCCTCGTTCTCCGGATTTAACGGTACCAGACTTTTTTCTGTGGAGATATTTAAAAAGTTAAGTTTATGCCAGCAAGCCGAAGAACATTGACAAACTCAAGGTTAATATACGAGCTGAAATAGCTGCGAAATCACCCGTAATGCTGGCCAATGTTATGCAGAATGCCCGCAAAAGAGCTACTTTTTGTGTGGTTATTTAATCGACGTTATATTCTAAACCTGGTTTGAAATAAATGGCATTGAATATCGTAAAAAAATTTTGTTCATTTGTGAAAATTGGTGGAGTTATTCAATGTTGAAATATAATACATCCAGATGGCGCACCCTGTATAATTTATATCAGCTGATTAGTAAATCTGCCGCTGTTTAGAGCAACCGCTACTCTTCTGCGATTAGTATAGGTTTCAGGATAGTCGTGTATCGTGCCTATTCAAATGTTGGTAAATCTTCTTTGTTGTTTGTTTCTACGCCGAAAAACTAACCCAAAAATCTATTGATTTCTATTCAAAAAAATCACAGTCAAATTTGAACCATCTATATTTTATTATCGCTCTAAAGGTGTGGAATTCGGGGGGAGAGAAAGTACTCCGGGTCGGTTAGTATTTACATACATATGTACATATATGTATATTAATTATCGTAATAATAAATTTCTTTCGGTGTTAACTATTCGCATACTCACCACATCAATAAGCTGCGATAATTTCAATTTTATGCATACTTTAAGCACATCTGTGGTGTTAACTACAGGTCGTACTAGCTTATTGTAGTTACTTAAGAGATCATCATAGAGTCTCTTGGCATCTGGATTTCCTGCAACCGCACTATGTACCATCAATGCTGACAAGAGCAATACTTTTACTTGTTCTCTTTGAAATCTCATTTCTAGTTATCTATGAATTGATCTAAAAGGTAAGATTTATTATGTAATATTAATATATTTTAATCGTTTTGTGTATTAATTAAGCAAATCTCAACGGACTGAGATATTAGTTTTAGTGAGGAGCTTGCATAGCTCTATATAACGGCCTTTTAATACCCGTGGGCTTAATTTCGAATATTTTAGGCATTAGATTAGCTTTTTATTGAGTTCAATAAACATAACGAAAATAGAAAAAATATATACCTAAGTTTCATCATTATAATTAAAATTTCACAGGCCACTCTTGAGGCAACTTCTCACAATTGAGCGCGTTCGCCATGGACAGAAAAAGATTGTAATCACTTGGTGCCATGTTCGGACTATAAGGTGGGTGCATTAGGACCTCCCATCCGAGCTTCTGTTGGAACACACTTCGGCCTGCGATGAGTGCCGCCCCCAAGCGGTCTATTTGTTCGCAGTAAAGGGCCGAATTGAGCGTTTGGCCATAGGTGAGCAGCTTGTAGTAGATAATTCCTTGCCAATCCCACCAAACACACAGAAAACCTTCCTGGCCGTCAATCCGGTCTTGGCCACCGTCTGAGCCGCTTCTCCGAGCTTTGACCACGACCGTTTGCGCTCTATGTTGTCGTAAGTGACCCATTTTTCATCGCCAGTGACAATCCGATTCGGAAACGGGTCGATTTTGTTGCGATTTAGCAGCCATTCTCAGGTGGAAATTCGATCCATCATGTTTTCTTGCGTTAGTTCGTGTGGCACCCAAACATCGAGCTTCTTTTTGAATTCAAGATTATGCGAATGGTTCCAAATGATTTTCTTGCTTATCTTTAGTTCCTCAGCAATTAAATAAGAGCTCACGCGACGGTCTGTTTCCACTGTTTCCATGATTTTAGAAGCAGCTTTCTACGACAGGCCTTCCGACCCGTGGTGCATCTTTGACATCGAAATTACCGGAACGGAACCTAGCAAACCACTTTTGTGCTACACGTTCTTTTACGGTATCGCGGCTGCTTTTTCGCCTTGATCGAAGAAAATTTTTTAAAATTTAGTGAATTTTCTCTTTGCTGTTGTCCATCTTTGACGAGCGCTCACAACGTACTGAGTCAATCAATCGAGAAACTGTCAAACACAAACTTTTAATGCGAATAAACACGTTTTCAGCGCCGTATTGTATGACATGATGCGACCCGTAGCACTAGTACTATGGACAATAACGCCATCTCTTCGATAAAAACCGAACGAACTTGATGTTCTCTCGCCGGATGCTGCGATTTTTCGTTTCGTTGAGTGAAGGAGTGGATTCTCTGTTCAAAAGGGGTTGTAAGTCGTTGCCACCTCCGAATTTAGGGGGGAGAGTAGTACGGTCTTGCCAGACGGAATAAGAGTATGTTCGTACAGACAGGGAATATTATCTCATCACGATCTTCTCATAGGGGATTAGTTTGTCATACCTGATACTTCTTCCTGGCCTTTATACAAGTCTAGATCCTTATTTTTTTGTATAGAAAATAGCCATTTCAGTTTTAAAACATAAATTGAAACTGAATTCTTGGCATTGTAATCTAATGGAAGTAAAAATATTTTCAGGTGACTTAACATTTTTTCTAAGAAAATGTATGAAATATTTCCAATATCTTAAAGTTAAAATGAAAAATAAATAAAATGTCATAAAACATTTGTCTGTCAATTTCATATTGAGGGAAACCACCTTCTTTTTTTGTGTTAAGGTTTTACTTCTATGTGAAATGAGTACCTAAACAAATAATTTCAAACATTTCTGCCGAAATCGAAAAGTTTTAAGTTCGTAATAACGTATTTTGATAAATTTTTGTTTTCAATAATATTGTTTATATACCTGTTTGAACTGTAGTACCCACTAATTGAAAGTAAAATTCCATTGGCTATTTTCCATTTCACTTCAGGGCACAACTAAAAAGAAAAAAGAAAAAAAAGTTCAAATAACCAATTCGCTTTAGGTTCTTGGTCACATTATTGTATTCAATATTGTAAAATTCTTTCTTCACGGAATAATTTTGAAATCTCAAATCAATAACTGCTAGACTGTACTTTCCGCTATGGTTTGATTATACGAGAAGAGGTTACGTGTTTGTCAAACAAAAGAATTATAAAAAAACGAAATATGAATCAAAAAAGTTTGGGCCAGAATAAAAGTTTAAGTTGGAGGCGGTGTGTTTGGTATCGTTTTCGGCAGCGGTAGCCCAGTCGTTAGCATTGCGTACTTCCATTCGAAAGGGCAGGGCTCAAATCCCGTTACCACCAACATCCAAAAATTATAGGAAATTAATTTAAATAAAAAAAGAATTTTCTAACTGCCATCGCCCTCCGGCAGCGAATGTCAACCCCTCCGGTTATACTACTGCCATGAAAATCTAAAGCTCCTCATAAAAAAACACCAGCCTTTCGTAGGCGTCTTAGTACTACGAACTGTAGGTCCTTCCATTTGTTGGAAAATCACCACAAATTCGAGGAGGAGCTCGGCCGAAAATCGTTTCAGCGGTTACAAATCGCCAATTATATATGTATATGTGTATATAATTTCAGAGTTTACACCCTTCTTCGTCTTGTGGAGCTTGGAAAAATGATCAACTAATCGCTCTAATTTTTTTACACAAAACGGAACACATTTTTTCTTTAAAAAACAAATCAAAAATCTTTGAAAGTTTTCACTTTTACGGTGAGAGGAGGTGGAAAAATTTTCTATGTTGTGAAAATATTGTAAAATGTGCTTTAGCAAAGAATTAAGCACTTGTTTGAACATATGTTTTGACTTAAGAATTACCTGGCGACTCGCCTGTTGCCTAAAACTTCAAATTAACAGCAAATCATTTATTGAATGTGTTGCCTCTGTCTTCACCAATATCTTTATTAGCAAAGAAAAGTATTTTCCTGTGGATTCTGCAAATAGCAAATAGGCCACACAAATGGAAGCCATTCACACGTTTTACTAAAGGAAGTTTTTCCCTTTAAATGAAGTTGATAAAATGACCGTGATTTATACTGTGTACCGTACAGTTATACTGAATATTCTTCGCTTTTTTTTATTTACGATGAACCCAGCGTTGCCCACCTTCTGGCCATTAGGCCGAGCGGCGTGTCTGAGAGATATTCGAAAAATCCAACAGACCGGTGACCGAAAACCGGTGACAGCCCGGACAGCCTTGAACCCGAAACCGATCGCGGTAGGTCGTGGTTACACTTGCCCTTTACAGTAAAGAGCTACGGATTTGTTCATCAGCTGCTATAAAATTGCTTGGAAAAAGGAGAGTGAATTCACTTAATTACTTACTTCTCAAAAAGTTGGTTTTGATACAGAAAAGGGAGTCAGAGGAATCAATGCTGGCGAAATGGGTATTAAAATCGTTACACATAGATCTAAAGACTTTTGCATCCCTGTTTAAATTTCTTAATGCGAATAGTAGTAAGTAAGTAAGTAATGTAGCATCAATTTTGGCATGTTCTTGATGAATATATAATAGGAAGAGTAAGGGACCGAAATGACTGACCAGATCTTATTCACGTTATTTCACGTGATATACAATATTTAAGAATTACTTATTTGTTTTCTACCATTTAAGTACTATGAAATCCAATTGATCGATTTTAAAGTGTCAAATGCTTTGCTGAAGTCAGTGTAGATAACATCTGGTTTATTATCAATTTTGAAACTAGCTGGGTAGATTTTCCTTTAGGGATATCCATAATAAATGACACAGAATCGGCTAATTGGTCTGTTATAATACCTTCAAAAATTTTTGGGATAGAATATAACTTTGCTATCCTCCAGATTTATGTAGAGGTAAAATGTATGACTCTTTCCACAAAGAAGGGAATACATTCCGCTCTAATGAAACATTGAATATGTTCGTTAACTTTATATATATAGAAATTCAGCACAAAATTGAAGTACACTAGTGGGGATATTATTCAGATCGCATATGAATGATGCCTTAAGGGAATTAAGGTGGTGATAAATAACATCAGCGGATATATGTAAGTGGTACTTTTACGTAATCAAAAGTAAGAGTAAATGAACGGCTACGGGGTTGAATTTGTGTTCGGCACATAATTAGATTCGAAAAAGTCTGCGAACATATTTGCGATTCTGTGATAATCACTAGAAATTGCATCATTCATTTTCACAGATGATGAAAACCCAATGGTCTTACGTTTAGAATTAACAAAACTATGGAATGACTTCGGATTTGAAGTAAAGTTATTTTGAATTCTCGTCATATACTTCTAGTAACACGACTTATTAAAAATATTATACAATACTTTTTTCTAACTACGGAATGAGCACCATAATCAGAAATTATTGCGGACTTTTTATAGAGCTTGAATAATATGGTATTCTTCTTTTTCAAATGAAACCAAATTCTTTATTAAACCATAAAGCACTTTTAGCCGGATGGGCTCATGAATTCTTAGAACAAATTTTGTAGAAGCAGAATGTAAAATACTTGTGAAGTGAGCAACGCTTTTTGCCACGTTTCCGTCCTACATTGACCAGAAAAATGCAGACAGCACATTTCTAAGATTAATATAATTTTGCTTTTTAAATGAAAAACGACACTCTTTTTTGAAGTAAATATTGGATAACTAAGGTTGGAAGGAACATCTAAAGGTAATTCGAGAGAGGGATAATAACCAACTCCGGGCAGAGAGAAAGGATCACAGCGATTTAAAAAAAATTAACGACAACCTCATCATCCGAAAATATTATATCCGAAGTCTTCCCAATCATATTATGGACCATATTTATTTGAAAAAGACTCAAATCGAGTCTAGTTGAGCTAAGTACTAGTAAACTGAAATTGAAGTGGTCTACCATAATAATATTGTCACATATTTTGGTAATAGAAAATAATGATTTTAACATTGACGAATGGTGAGAGTAAGAGGAAAAGTCAGAATTTGGCGGAATATAACTGACGGTAATATAAAAATTTTTATTAATTAAACGAATTTTAACACAAAGATATTATATCGCTTCCGATTTCGGAAAATACATTTCTTCCGCAGCAAGTCCAGTTTGAACACCAAGAAGTACTCCACCACCAATTCTAATTAAACGGTCATCTCTTAAAATTTCGAAGTTGCTACCTAAGTTTTTAGAATTGAAGACATTTGGTTTAAGCCAAGTTTAAGCGGTGTAAATATAAGTCTTTCAGCTTAGTGTCCAAACCGTTTACATTTTGATAGTAAATATAATATTTAGGTTAATATCTGTTAACAGTTTTTTGGCTCAGAAGAGGCAACAGGTAACTGAGAAAGATTGTTTCTAATCTTCCTTTGATTTAAATCAAACTCTCGAAAAAAGCACCATTCGGCCAAAATGATGAGTTCAAAAGTACATCAAAGCAAGCAGCGGAAACATCTACATTTAAATGTTTCATAGGAAAAACTGAACTTCATAATATCCAAACTAGATTTCATGTCCCTGATATATAGGATCGGACGTCATTCGCAGTTTTATCTTTTGCAAACCGGGATACAAATACGGACTTCCTTTTCGAAGCCATAACTAGCTCTTTTCGATTCAATCTAGTGGTGGCTTAGATGCAGTGGAAATAGTAGGAGGGGGGTCACGTGCAGAGAGAAGTTGACCTTGTTACGCCACCTATAGGGTTTGGAGGATTGTGTTCCTCGGGACAAGGGGAATTAAATAAAATCAAGTCTTTATTTATATTCGAACTTATAAATGGGTTTACTGGAGCGTCCGAAACGACAGTAACTGGATTTATAAATGTCCTATCCTTACTATGTTTTCGCTTCTTTGACCCTGGGTTAACTTTAGGAATCACAGAGGAAGGAATTCGTTTAAAATTTCTATTTTTTCGATAAGGGCTTTCAAATCTTTCCCTATTCCCAGAAAGCCACTCCTTGTAGTTTTAAAAAGTTTAAAAATGTCAGTATCAACTTTTTTACATTTTGGACATGACTATCGAGGGCTCTTGCCATCATGAACTAAGTCGAGAACACGAACGTTTAAGCCATCGCGGTCAAGATCATCGCAAAGCGAACAAGAAATATGACGCTCGACATTGCCTTTCAAACGAGCACGATAAAAGAAAAAGAACTAAAAGTTACAGAAGCACTGAATTAATATAGTTTAGCAAGTTCAGAAGCAAACGAAATAGCAGTTTGAGAGGCAATATAATAAAAATCACGATCAGCTGATTGCTGCTAAGCGGAAATAATGACAGAGATACAGAGAAGGTAATATTTAAATGTATAAACAAAAGGAAAAATAAAAATAAGAACAAACTGTAACACTCTCTCTTCTAAATAATATTAATATATATAATTATTTTATGAAAACAAATTATTTTAACAGAACGCTTAGCTACGACGGTATGTTAATGTTTAAAACCAACTTTAAGGATAAATATTTAAGTTTTTGACACTTTCAAGATACAAATTTTTTAACAAAAATTAGATGCAAAGCTTTGGACAACACAGTACGAACTATCGAAGGAAGATATATTCACAATATCGTTCAACTAAGTCAAAATAATTGAGTTTCATTAAGTTTACTTTAGTAACAGCTCACTCTAGCTTAAGAGCTGCTCTAAGTGTAAAGGCCTAATTTGAATATGTTAAAGATAATATACAGCGAAATGTCTTGTTATTCCAACTTAGTTAGAGCCGGCTCTAAGTTGATTATGAATGTGTCCCATTATTTTGTCAGCCCTGCTGCATAGCGCAATAATAGTGAAATAGTTTGAGAAACGAAAACACCGTAATATACTATGTAGCTCTTTCAACCGAGAAGGTATGTTCTGTCAAATTTAGGCACCGATAAATTCATTTCACTCATACATACATAGATAGTTATTGCGAAGAAGTTATATGTACACAAAAGAGATAGTAATATGAACTATTTGTTTATATATTACTCTTCATAATTGATTTCTATAAACGTTTTCTATGATTGAATAATTTGCTAAGCCATAACAAGATTCCCTTTGTCACTACGTCAAAATTATTTGTTTTGTAGCGATTCTCTTATACTCATCTGTCTTCTAACAGTAAACAGTTTTCACTAAAGTGGTAGTTTGAACGCAAGGAAATTTGTGTAGGCAAATGAGCGTGTTCAAAAGCATGATAACTCCACAAAACCAATAAAGGCTTGATAATATAAATATCCTTCTCTATGCAGTAGAAATGCTGATTATTGACATTTAAATGCTTTTTATCATTTTCGTGCCATCCCGTTCTTGAAAGATAATGAGATTATTTGTTTACTGGTATCAAATGAAGCGGAACAGCTAACAGATTCTGAATAAGAATGTATGTGATATACTTGTAAATTAAAATTGAAAATTTGTCTTTATTATAACCATTTGATACTATTGAAAATAAACCTACATATTTCAATTTGCTATACATTTATTTTTAAACTTAGCGGAATTATTTTTGAAATGTTTATAAATATTAAAATTACGTGCAATTTATTATATTATAAAAATTTGATAATTATTACATATAATATAATGTTCTAAGCAACTTCGTCGTTGTTGCTGTTGCTCTACCGCGCTGAGGGACAAACTAGTTAGTCTAAGTCACCGAGGTCATCTAAGGGGAAGTCCAGTAAACGAGCTGTTTCTACGGGCTCGGACCAGAAGGAGAAGAAGCTAGACGCGACGGTTTTCGAGAGCATTTAAGGGTGAGGTTAGTGTCGTGCTGGGACTCAATATATGCAGGACATGTCGAGTCTGGATAAGTAGGAGTTTAACCTTCTACAATATCCAGACCAAAGTTACGCGAGTTTCTCGAGACAGCTCGAGCTCTTCATCTGCTAGATATATATATATATATATATAATTGGCGCACTGTACTGATTTTTCGACTGTTTTTCCAACAAATGGAAGGATCTACAGTTTACACTAAGCCGCTTTGGAACGGCTAATGGTTTTTTTACGAGGAGCCTTTATTTCATGTCCGAAATACACTCGGAGAGGTGAACATTCTCTGCGGAGTGGTGGCCGCAATTAGAAAATTTAACTTAATTTTCAAATTAAATTAATTTTTAATAACTTTTAGATGTTGGTGGCACCGGCATATGAACCCGAGCCTTCCGAATATAAGCAATGCTAGCCACTCGGCTCCCGCAAAAAGGCCACGTCTGCTATGGGTATTAATTTAACTCCGAGTACGCCATTCACAGGGAGGGAGTCTTTGAAGGTGTTAACTGACTCCAGATGAATGACGTTCAGTGCATATCAGTACGCGGCCCTGTCCAGCGATTGTTGTACGTATTGTTGGATAGTGTTATATAAATCAAGTACTCTTTTTCTGATGTGCCTGGGTAGAGGCTCAGCCTTTATTAGATTGTATCACCCCAAAAATAGCATGCCAGGCGCTGCCGGCTCGGGCTTTGAGTATTTTGTTGCGGCTTTGAGGTTTTGCGGCAATTGCGGTCGTATGCGAGGTGAAGGAGTGCAGGCTATCAAATTTGACCCAAAAACACTGGTGGGTTATTTATGGTCGGAATTTTACGCTATCGATCTTCACATCTAGTTCCAGCCTTATTGCCTCGTCCAACTAGTGAAAAGTATAGCAGATGATTTGGTCGGTTGTATTTTAAGTTTTCGTGCAGTAAGGAAATGGGAAAGGCCGTCGAGATAGCCGTGTTCAGTTGAGTTTTGATGTTCGACCTCGAAATTGACGACCACTCAGGTAGGAATGTCCAATAGTGGCATTGAATGGTTTACGGTGTTAAAACCCTTTAAGAAATCCAGTTCTACCAGGACAGCTTGCGCACAGGGCCCGTTTTGGTTAAGGCCATTGACTATCTGAGTGTTTATGACGTTAAGTGCTGTTGTGGTACTGTGCTGTTGTGAAGCTATGCTGATGTGCTGCTGGACGCTAAGGGAACAACCACGAGACCACCCTGCCCGCAAAAATGGCTCGCGCATCTCTTCTGGACCGACGAGGCGCAGTCTGCGAATTAAATTTTCACTGCGTCCCGTCGGTTTCGATAATGACTTTACTGTAGCCTATAGCTTGTTTGCACCAGAGGAGACATTACATGATCTTAAGTGCTCCTCTTACTTTTTCTGCTTATGATTGTCTGCTTATGGGGTCCCGCCTTGATGTTGGAAGTGCCGCTTTCGTCGGGAAATTAGGGTGGATTTCCGGCTGTGACGTCTGATGGAGTGGGGAGAGCACTGAAGGCGCAACATCACATACAAGGTTCTATCAAGCGCATTGTGTGAAAGACTAAAGCCCACCTTCAACAACCTGATTGGACCTTATCAGTGTGGCTTCAAACTTGGTAAGGCAACCATTGAGAAGATATTCACCATGCGTAAAATCATGTAAAAGACACTTGAAAAGATGATCGACACACACCACCTTTTCGTCGATTTCAAAGCAGCATTCGACAGCACGAAAAGGAGCTGCCTCTACGCCGCTCAGTCTGAATTTCATATCCCTGTAAAACTTTTACGGCTGTGGAAACTGATCTTAAGCAGCACTAGAAGCTCCGTCAGGATCGGGAAGGACCTCTCCGAGCCGTTCGATACCAAACGAGGTTTCAGACAAGGTGACTCTTTATCGTATGACTTTTTAGAGTTGAGTTGAGTTGATGCGGCTTCTGCTGCCAGCACACTTAGGCCAATAGGCCCATTGTGATACCGCTGAGGCTCCTGCCTTTACCTTCTCAGATCATTGTACCATTTCGTGTGCCTTATAAAGCCAACGAGATTTCCAATATTCGCTGAGGCTATCTCAGCGATACAGACGAATAAATGTTTCCCAAGAAATTTTTAACGCGCTGATGTCAAGGCTGAACAGTGGCAGAGGTAATGTTCGATGATATCCCATTCTTTTTCCGTGAAGGCCCATTAAACAGTGTCCAGTTATTATGCCCGTCGCTACGCTAATGGAGAACCGAATGATAAGGTGTTTTGATAATCTCGCCTCCAGCTTCGGTCATAGCTGTTTGGTCATGTTACACTTGATCTCGTTCGATCATGTTGAGTCATATTCTCTGGTAAAAGCCAGTTTAAGCATGTACTTTTCCGTAGGCAGAGGTAAACCGTATAAAGCTTACATACATCGTGGGTAGAAGCGATGTCCCTGTGCCCAGACAACGGCAGTGATAAATATAGTAGAGAGTTTGTTGAGAAAGTTCCTACATTTTACGGCCACTTTTGACGTAGTGCCACTACATTGGAGAGATCTGACAGCAGATTGACTGTCAGAGTATATTGTAAACGATTTTCCTGCTGCCATGTATTTATGCAAGCCATCAGTGGCCTCCGTAATTGCCTGGAGACGCAACAGTGATCTGGTAGTCTCACGTACATATTCAATGAAAACATGGGAGAATAAGTCCCGCAGCCTACTTTTCCATCAAGCTTCGAGTCATCTGTGAAGATGGCTATCGCTCTCTGGTCGCGGCCGTTAGTACTTTCCCACTCGCACCTGTTTAGGAGAAACGATTTTCGAGGCACATGCAGGAGTTTAATATTTTGGTGTGTCCTATACTGCAAATATTCCAATGTTGAGCAGCATTCAGTCTGATTGCATTGCAGCCCGCTTGTAGTTTCCCGTATAGGTTCAGAGGAAGGATGTCGAAAAGAGTTAACAGGGCTTTCGAGGGAGTTGATTAAAGTGCCTCTGTTACCAGGATAGCAGCCGATCGTTGATCTCTCTCTAGTTTGCTCCAAACGGTGACGCCGTAGAATAGGACTGGTCTAACTACCGATGTATAAAAACAGTGCACGTTACCCGGTCTTAAACCCCATCCTGTTCATATTGCCGTTTTGCAGGCGTATAGTGCAGTTATAGCTTTCCTTGACCTCTCCGACGTGTTCCGGCTCCAGTTAAGCTTGTTATCAAAGATTATGCCGAAAAACTCTACCTCGGTAAAAAGGGTGAGCTTCACGCCGTTCAATTTTGGTGACTTAAAAGGAGTCGGTTTGTGCCTTTTCGTAAAAAGAACCATTTCGATTTTATCTGGATTGACGTCCAGTCCGCTGTCCTTGCACCTGCTTACAACACTGTAAAGAGCATTTTGGAGGAGGTCACTTAAATTTGGTGTATGGTTGCCCGTCGCTGTTAGGGCACAGTCATCAGCGTATGCCACCACACCACATCCTGAGTTTTGAAATTTCCTAATTAACGTGTTCGCTGCACATCACAGCAGTGGCGATAAGTCTCCTCCTTGAGGGGTGCCTCTTGTGGTGTGCCTGGTAGTGTTGGCGTTGCCTATCTCTCTGAAAATAATCCTGTTCCTTTAGAAGAGAACCTACAAGATTTACTATGGGCTGCTGGAGACTCAATTCTTGAAGAGACTCTATTACAAATGCAGAAGGAATATTGTTGAGAACCCCTTCAATGCCGATGCATATTCCAAGCTTATATTCTTTAAAGTGATTTTTCGATGCCTCCGACCAACTCGTGCAGGGCTGTGTCGACAGACTTACCCTTAGAGTACGCATTCTAATCCTTCGAGGGGGTAGATAACTGTCAAGCAGCCTTTCAAAGATTTTAAAGAGGAAGGAGATAAGATAAATGGGCCGAAAGTCCTGAGTACTGACGTGGTTGGTTCTTCCTCCTTTTACCTTGGCTCTGATCCACGCTTTAGGATTATGTCCTTCAGGAAACAGGCGTCGTAAATTTTGGAAAGAAGTTGAGGTAAGATGTCCTCAGCCCTTTGTATTTCGGCGGGGAAGATACCATCGGGTCCCGGAGATTTGAAGGCTTTGAATGACTTCATATCCCTTTCCACTCTTTTTCGACATACTGCTAATATCAGCTCACCTTCCATGTGTGGGATTTGGTCGTAAAATCAGTACTCATGGGGACATCCAGCATTTCTTCACAAAATGGAATCCATTCCCTATTCGGTTTCTGGACATAGTTTAGGCTAGCGGAGCTTTTGGGTAGAAATTTCTTTAGTCGGTAGTTACCTTCTGCATTTCCGTCAATGTCACTGCAGAAGGCCTTCCAAGATTTATGGTTTGCGTTTTTCGTAGAGGTTTTAAAAAATTTCTGGCAAGCCTTATAAGAACGCCTTGAACGTTTGGTTTCATTAAAGAGTTCTCAGCTTCTTTTTCTTAGTGCAGAGATATCCAGATGGAATAGAGAGAGGGAATAAGCCTTCAAAAGCGTATTTACAGAATTTGGTGACAAAGTCTACGGCTTCACAATTTTTCACCGAGAGAAACAGACCTTATGCAAGATGTCACCGCTCCATCAGACGGACGATAAAACAAAACAAGCCACTCGAAACGCTTTAAAAAGTGCATTGGTTACCGTAGCGCGTAAGCGACCTTGCGTTCTATAAAATTTGACCTTGCTGGCTGTCAAAATCTATATTCAAGCCCAGGGTAGCTTTGTCAAATACATAACCTGCTTTCAGTTATAAACTGATTCCACACTCCTCTATACTCTTGTTAGAATATAAGACAACCTTTATAGAAAAGGGAATTGTTATTTATTGTGTAATAAACAATTTCTTTACTAATAAGAAATTGATTAACAAATCCTGCGAATTATATTTAACAATCCAATTGTCGCTGGAATATTATATTGTATAATATGTAGCGGGAAAAATGTTGTACTTGCAAGCATCGTGGGTTAATTTAAAAAAATCGTTTATAGTGTACAATTCGTTCGGGTATATTATCGAAAAAGGCTGTTGGTCAATAACGTGTTAATAGATAACGATAATTCGATTCATCGATGGACTGAAAGAAATTGCTTCGTTTGTGCATCATCGCTTTTTTGTGTATTACTATATGGATATACAATTGTTTAAACGAAGTTTTTTTTTACATTTCTCTTTACTTAGGTGGTAAACAATTAACAATCTCTGTGTCTGTGAACTTTTCTTGCAAACAAGAAAAAAATTGTGAAAGCAAAGTAATCAAGCTCAAACTTTTGAGCATAATATAAATACATTAGTATTGATAGTATTGACCAATTGAAAGCGTCAGTGTTAAATATTTGTTGAAGTATTACTTGAAATGTTTAGTATCAGTGAACTGTGCTGTATGTTTTGCTGTCCGCCATGTCCAGGCCCAATTGCAGCTAAATTAGCATTTCAACCACCAGAGCCCACATATAAATTGACACCGTCTGACGACACGAATGTGAAATATAACTTGCATTTGTTTGATCGCGCAGAATGGCAGTATTCGGAGAGGGATAAATCAAAAGTTGAATCTTTCTTTACAAGGACGTCGAGAGGCAATTTAATTACATGTGTCTATGTTCGATGTAGCAGGAATGCGAAGTACACACTTCTCTTTTCTCATGGAAATGCAGTTGATCTGGGACAAATGAGTAGTTTTTATATATCGCTCGGTACACAACTCAATTGCAATATTTTTGGTTATGATTATTCTGGTTATGGAATGAGCGGGGGAAAACCTTCGGAAAAAAATTTATATGCTGACATCGAGGCTGCTTGGCAGGCTCTAAGGAACAGGTATGCTTAATTTTTGTTTTTTTTTTTTTTTGCTAATTATCTACATTTACTATACAGATATACACAAAGTGTTTTCAGGGGAATTCATCAAGGTGGTATATAGGGTTATCGCCCCAATGGTTAGACAGTACTTAGATTGAATTTGCCTGCTCCTAATCGGGTTTCGAAAGTCGCTACAACAACAACAAAAAAATTATAAATAATAAAAGTTAGATTTAAAAAATTAACAGCAGTGGAATCGGTTTCGCTTATAGGATTATAGGATTTTCCTTCTTATAAAATGTCCCCGCTTTGTTAAAAAAAAATTTACTTTGTGTACTTGCTTACTTCAATCACTTATTTTCTTGTACTTTATAACCTCAGGAAAGTTTAAATCGAATTCAAGAAGATAAAGAGCTGGCTGGATTTGCTATATCACGTTTGAATTCAAGTCAGTCTTACAGTTTTAGAGAATTTTCAAGGAATTTCGTAAGCAAACAGGATATTGCTTAAATAATTGTTGTTTTTTTTTTAGAGCAGTAAAAATTCATTATAAAAATCTAATAATTGCGCTAAAAGTCGTTTCGGTCGGTTAAACATTCCAACATTTCAAACCTTGCCGCTACGGTGAAATTATAGTTAGGTATAATTCAATAAAAATTTTGAGTTTTGTTTTTGCTCTTATTAATTTAATTTTTTCACACTCTTAAAACTCAATTTTAATGAAAATAATTAAAATTCTATCCGACTAGCTTATCCTTAACTTAATATTTACCGTCTAAGCAATATTTTTTTGTGTTAATAAATATTTTTCCTGGGCTGGGGTTGTTGTTCTTTCGCCAACAATGATATTTTGCAAACTTTCGTTATAACTAGGTTTTAATTATACCTAAGCTTCTTCTGAAAATTAAAAATAAAAAATAATAAACCCACTAACATCAAAATTAGTTTTTAGCGGATTGTGCATGGCAGCTGACATTTATTACTCACAGCTGACTGTAGGGCCTCGATTTTGTAGTTTGAGCTGGCAACAAAACCTAATCGAGGCCCAAAGATAATAGATAAGTGTGTAAGTTTCATATCATATTATCTCTGGCCCTATGAGCAGGTAGCAAACATCGGACATTTTCCCTATAGTCGAGAAAACTTATAAGTCTAATGCTGCAACTACTCCACCTCCGCGTACCAGCCGTCTATAGTAACCTATCTTATGAGAGCGCGATGTCAACACAAAGTTGTGCCCGTAAAATCGGCTCGGCTAATTTTTTGTTGCTATACAAGGTTGCCAGTATAGCCTTTCTTAAAGTAACATTAAATAATCGAAGATAATGCATAGTTTTTTTTTCAAAAGAAATGAAAACTAAATGCGTAACTAATTATTTGTTACCATATACAATAGATCGTGTCTATTTGGCTTGCGTTTATGAAGTAGTAGTGAAATTCGTTGACCAAATTTATGAATTTGTTCAAAAGTGTGCAAACACACTGGCAGCTGGCAACATTTCGCCGCTCTCAGCAGCGTCGATAACCCGTGTATGTATCTCGCCTTGACGTCGCCAAAACGCCAAAAAGCCAAACGATAACAGCTGATTCTTACGTTCTATGTTATTGAAACGTACATTCTCTACGTACGAACGTAGCAAAACAACGAAGACACATGTCAAATTCAAACGAAAGCAATTTAGGTATCGTTGCGTTATATGCAATATGTGCATATGACTCTGCTCAAATACATATTAATGTACTTATGTATATGCTATAAAATCTTTCCTGGTAATGTGGTATAAATGCCTGTCAACACATCCTATGACATCCGGTAAGCCCAACTGGTTTCTTCTTCCTGAGTTCTTAAGAAGGGCACCCATTTGTTGCAAAATTTGCTTTCGAAAATACCCAAACACTCCGAGATAACCTTTGCTACGGTTGATTGGCTCATCGCTGACATTTTTCTTTCCAACTGATTTCTGTAGTTGTTATTGTTATAGCGGTTCGCTAACCCCGCTTAGGCACAGGTTTGATCAATCTATGTCGCCGAGGTCATCTAGTGGGAGGTCCAGGAAACGAGCTGTTTCGTCGGGGAAGGGAGAGGGGGGTTAGATGAGTTGGTTTGAGAGGGCATGTGAAAGGTTTTTAGTGTCATACGGAGACTCTCCACATGCGGGGCATACGTTGGGTATGCTGGGGTCTAGTCTGGATAAGTTGGAGTTTAACCTGCTACAATATCCAGGCCTGAGTTGTGCCAGGCAACTCTCACGACAGCCGGTTTTACGCACCAGATTTGACCCGGATTTTATCCGGCCAAAGGCTGCCACCCTTTTGGCGATCTAACCCCCTTTAGGTCAACAGGTAACATTAGTCAACTGATTACTGAGAGCTTCCGGTGGCAAGAAACCTGAGAAAAGTAGCCAACTTCAATTCTTCTTGAAACAAAAAAAAAAAAAAAATAAGAAAACACTTCTTTGCCCATTCGAAAATTCGTAAGAAACCTACGTATGTTTATATTCAAAGAAGTAAACACTTTTCTCTGGAATAAATTCACAAAATACTTGCTCCTGCAGTTCCAGGACATTTGTTGCATCCCTTACATTTCGCCTTTGGTTATTTGACAAATTATTCCTTCTCGCATCTCTTCCGTCCGGAGACGATTCGTTCGTCCGACCTTTCGTTCGCAAAATAGAAAAATAAATATATTTCTTAGATTAGTCAATGACTGATAAGCTTTTGCTCTTAGCTTTTTATTAGTTTTTGGAAGAGATTTAAAAATTGAAGAACTGATAAAACTGTGATACAGTGTGCTAAGACACAAGTTCACATACATCCCCTGCTGGTTAGGGGTTCATTTACCCGCGGTAAGGCAAAACTGTCGAAAGAAACCGGCTTCACCTTATACAATATTTTTTAATGGATTGCCTTTGATAGTTGGGGTCGCAGGAATTCGCTTTAAAAATCATCCAAAATAACACCGCATTTGCCTTTCTCATTATTTTTGAGTGAAACACCTTTTTAACTGGCTGTGACCCCATGGGCAGCAACAAATCCTTCCGCATTTTACTGAACCGGGTTCGGTGAGGTATTAGTAGCATAAATTTCATGATTGACTATTTAATAATGTTGGCAGGCACCATGACTTGGTTGAATGTCTCAAATAAATTGATCTGGGTTCTGCTAAGATCGAAATGTGTTCTTGTACAACTTCCTTACGATGGTAATGATCCCCAATGTTTTTCATTTATAGGAGTCCTGTCTTTTTGACCATAGAAGTAAATGCTCCTTATGAAAATACGACCAATATCTTTGGATGCACTCTTTCGTGCTTACAGCTCGGTAGATCTTATTTTTTTCGACCACCAGGGTTGTATGTTCGGTGGAAACTACGCCGACGTCTGCCCAAATTGCTGAAGCAAAAGCAGCAGCAGCTCGAACATTCCATATCGGTCACAAACTTTCGCAACAGTTAGCTTTCTTGAAGACAACACCTTTTTTTTGCGAACCTCGTTGACACAGGGTTTCCGTGTTTTCTCAATACACAACGTTTCGTCTGTATTGCTTGTACCGAACACCTAAACAAAGACGAAGCGATGAAAGTGTCTATGAACATTGACGATCGTTCGGATAGACGATATTCAACATAAGGCCGATTATTTTTGTATATAATTATTGTGGCCTCTAAAACAAACTCGGTAATTCGTAAACTTTGTCTGTCGTGACTGAAACGACAAACCTCCTCAAACTTCCTTCACTCATTATTATACTCTCCACGTCTTTATAATTCCGAATGGCTTTAAGGGGCACACCTATTGTAATGGCCTAAAAAAAGTGATTTTTGGGAATTTTTTATAAAAAAATTACTTTATCAATTATTTCAAAATTTTAAGAATATATTTATACATGTTTCAAGAATGTGCAGTGAAATTTTTGAAGGAAAAAATTAAATATTTTTTAAGTTACAGTCGATTCCCAACGGTGCGAAAAAAGGTCCTTCACTGCTGCAGTGATGAAATCTCCGTGGATGAAATCTAAAAAAAAATTCTTGTTAAACTAGATAATATTGGCTGTCTGTACAATGACCTAAAATCAAAAATTGACAAATTGGCGCTTAAAAAAAAAAAAAACAAATTTTACCCGAAATTTTGGTCGTTTTTGGCCTGCTAAAATTCAATTTTTTGATCAGATCAAAAATCGATAGGTCATTGTTCGAAGAACTATATATAGAACATGTAAAAAAAATTTGATGGTGATCGGATCATTTGTTTTTGAGTTATCACAGCAGCAAATTCGAAAAATGCTGTTTCGAGAAAAACGCGTTTAAAGATATAATAAAATGATCGTTTTTACTCGTACCTAATGAGACTTTCTAGCTGCTGATGGCTGCTCTTTAAATTGCAATAACTCATAAACTATTTGAGATATCGATTTGAAATTTTAATATGTTATTTTTAAAAATGTAATCTACCGAAATATGAAAAGTTTGTTTGACGACCATCTCGTGAGTTTTGGTTTGTGGTGTACAATGATTACAAAATGCTATTTTTTTCTATGGCGGAGCGATTTAGTCACATAAGCCAGGTTTTTTATTCTTGATTTGTTTGTATTCACGAGGTTACAACGATGTTTACTGGATGCTCTGATTTCGGCTTGGTTTTTAATGTTATTTTCCATTGTCGATTGTTGTTCACTGTCTAAATTTTTTCCTAGTAATTTACCCTTTATAAGGTATTGATTGAATGAGTTTTTTTTTTGAAGTGGCGTGTGTTCTCTTAGTTAAGTTCCAGGTTATTGTTTGGATAATGTCTTCGTGATTTGTTTGTTTGATAGAATGTTTTGACATCTTTCACGAGGTGTCAAGCCTGATTTGAAAATTGACATGTATGTATACCGCTCACGTCTCGGAAAGTGAGTGTTTAGGTGCATGGTTTATTACAGGAATTCAAAGAACCTTTTTTAAATGAATTATGAGGGTTTCTTCCATAAATTGAAGAAGTTGTGAAATTTTGTTTTTGTTCATATTTAGTAAAACTTCTAAAAAGGAATTAACGTATATTCTTTTTTATGCTATTGAAATTTAAGTGATGGTAGTTGCTAAGCTGCCCACAGCTACATCTGTTTGATAGGAAAGCTTTTATGTAAAGCCGGTCAATATTCTGTTTATTTGTTTGGATTATTTTGGTGAGAGTTTAAATTTGTTGAACTAAGTGTGGGGCTAGGGTTTTGGAAAAATTAGTGCGTGAAGATGAAGAAATTGTTTGTTTATAGAGAAATCTTGGAAGTTATTGTACCATTCGTTGCGTATTTTAGTTATAATTATTCTAAGAGCTTTGTCGTCAATAGTCTCTGATTATCAGCAGCCATTGACTCCGACTACATATGTATGCCGCTAAGGCCATTCGAAATCAGTATATAAGTACATCTATTAAAGGAAGGCCTAGAAAGAATTTTCGCGCGCGTGGTGCCACTTGAGTGTTATGGGATTCCTATAGAAATTGGGGATACAAGGAGAAATATAATAAGTACGGAGGCAATCTCTCTTACTAATCTAAGCAATGACGTGCGACATGAAATATACACTTTTCATTATTAAGACTCTAATCGTACATAATGTTTCCGAATGGAGTATCCGTGCTGAATACTAATCCAAAGTCAAAAACATCTCATCACGACACGCATTGAAACCTTTTGAAATAGCGTTTTATTTGTTTAAAAAATTGTACTTTGCTGATATTATAAATTAAATGCTGAATTGTGCTCATTAATTTGAAGAAAAAATGTAAACAGAACATAAAAAATTTAACTTCAGCATATTTCAATAAGAAATGGATAGAGTTTTTCAAAGTGGCGTATTTAAATGCAAAAATTACCTCGAAAACTCCTAGAACGTCCTTCATAGATCTATGTATAAGAGCTAATTTAAAAAAAATTTAATAAATTTTAAAATTCCTTATGATGAGTTTTAATTTATATGATATTATTTACATGAATATCTATCCAATATAGATTTAATATCAGCCCCGAAACTATTATTTTATATGGACAAAGTATTGGTACAGTGCCAACAGTTGACTTAGCAACAAAGCATGAAGTTGGTGCAGTTATTCTACATTCTCCTCTAATGTCCGGATTGAGAGTCGTTTTTCGTAATACAAAGCGGACTTGGTTTTTTGATGCATTTCCAAGGTATGTACGGATGGATAGAAACATTTTGCTTTTCTAATAATTACTATTTTTGTTTTTAGTATTGATAAGGTTTCCAAAGTAAAATCTCCAGTTTTAGTCATACATGGAACTGATGACGAGGTTATAGATTTTTCTCACGGAATCGGAATTTACGAGCGTTGTCCAAAAGCTGTGGAACCCTTGTGGGTGGAGGTAAGTACCTATTGTATGAGTTTTACAAGTGTCAGCTGCAAAGCCTATATCAAACGCCCCCTTTTTATTAAAAATTAGTATCTAATAATCGTTAATTGATATAACTGTAGTTCATATTAGTTTTTCTAAAAATAGTGGCACTGTACATATGTCTGGTACCCACTCGTGTATGATATAATTGACGCTTTGTAACCGCTGAAGCGGTTTTCGCCCGATCTCCTCCTCCAATTTGTGGTTTGCGCATTAATGTTTTTTCCAACAAATGGAGGAACCTACAGTTTTTTCTAAGGCGCTTCTGAATGGTCGATGGATTTTTATGAGGAGCTTTTTATTTTATTTTTTTTTAAGTCAGACTTACACTCGGAGATCGACTGCAATTAGGAAAATTAATTTTCTATAAATTTAGACGTTTGATCACACTGGCTTCCTTGCGTCTGGCGTGCATCTGCATCGAGCAATGTCTCCAATTCTTCATCTTGAAATTTTTTTTGGCTGTCCGTCGTCTAAGTTGAAATTGCCACTTTTAAACCGTGCAAACCACTTTTGGCACGTTCGTTCGGCTAAAGCATGGTCACCATAGGTAAAATACGATGGCTTTCTATAGCACTTTTCTTCATGTTAAAGTAATGAAGAAGAACTCTCCGCAACAACACTTTATTTTCGGTACAAATTTCGACATTTTCAAATGAATGAAACAAATTGTTGTTCACGCTAAAACAAATGACATCTGCTGAAAACGACGTAAAATGACAGAACCTTTGAAATGAGTATATCTACAGATGAACACGACGCGAAATAATACTAGTAGAGCCCTCTTTTAGAAAACCGCACGAATTAATGCATACACCTAATATATTTTTGTTACTTCGACAGAATAGGCCTGTCCTGTTAGTCTCAGACGTTGAACAACAACCTCGAACGTCAGTAAATGAAAGTACCATAAACTTTTTGTATCATGCAAGTAGTATTTTTTCTAATTGCGGTCGCTTCTGGTAAAAGAACATCGAGCCCTCCGATTGTATTTCTGAAATGAAAGTCAAAGATCTTCATAAAAATAAATAAAATAATATAAAATAATATAAAATAATATAATGTATTTCTTAGCTGGAATTTCGTATTTTTGAAAGTCCCTTATAATTATAAAATATCAATTCATTTCATTTAAGAATAGTTGTTAACATTAATATTTTTAATCTCTGCCTTTTAGGGAGCTGGCCACAACGACGTGGAATTACATTCGCAATATTTTGAACGGCTAAAAAAGTTTTTAACTGTGGAGTTGGTTAAATGACAATTAAAGAATCAACTGGACATTTGTCCAAGTAATTCAGCGACAGTACAATCTTCTGTCGAAATAGCGGTGGCATCATCTTTAGTAAATAAAAATAACATAGAGGAACCAATTAGTAACACTCCATCGGCCTTAACCGGGCCAGGGAATAAATTAAAAGAAGAAATTGAAGGTAAGTACAATAAATTCGATTGTTTCAAATTGTATTTTCATCATTCATTTTATATTTTCTTAGTTTCCACTTCAAGCTCCGTGTCAACCAAAGCTTCGGCTGAAAAATTTCTCTAGCGAAAAAACAACGGTTCTAATTCCTTTCTCGAATGTTATGCTTATCGGAAACTTAATATTTTATATACGTGCAATAATATTTGTTTATCGGAGAAAGTCAGGAACCTAAATAAAACGATAACAGCTTCGTCTTCCCCAGAACATGTAACACGACACATCCATCAAATTGAAATTTATTCTGTGGTAATTGTGTGGTCGAAAAAACTTTTAAAAGAATCCCATGGCTACAACTTTTTAACAATTTTTCCGGAGCGCTATATCAGCTACTTGAATGTAATATAACCGCGTTGATTTTTTAATACCAGCACAAGTAAAGTTGAATACTGTTATATTTAAATCGAATGTTTTACGAAACTTAAAAAATGAGTAGCAAATATAAATCAGTGATCAGTAGCGGATATTTAATATGTATGTGTCTTATTTCATATACATGTGACCGTAATATTTAAGTCTGCCTCTCTGTGTTTAACAAGCAACTGATCTGCTGCATTTACGCGCACACGGTCAGGAGCGAATTGTTTGAACGTGAGAGAATTTCGTACACTGTCCTAAATCAATGCTATCAACACTGCCCGCCAGTCTTCAACGGCAGTTCAAATTGAAACTTCAGAGTATGTAGCATTATAATTTTATTTATTAAAACAATAGAAAGCTGCTTTACACTTTGTTTAAAGGTTTAATGCAGAGGCAAAACGAGAACGAAATTAAATAAACTTGTTTAGATACTTTCCATTTAAAAAATATATTATTATACTTTAAATCGGTTTATTGTTTTAGAAATATGGTAAAGTTATTTTAATTCAATATTGTGTAAAATTTCTATTAATAGAAAATGAACTATATAATCATACTACTTTTTGAGAATAAGTTTAATTAATGTTATATAAATCTAAATTAGTTTGTATGCATTTATTTTGAACACATGTAATAAACATGTTGATTTCTTACCTTATATGTTTTTTCATTATTTTGAAACATAAAACTTCTCACCTGAATAGCTTGTGTTGTGAAATAAGGAAGGGAGCTCCATATAATATATTTTAGTTGGCTTCTTAGAAAGTGTGCGAATGAAGCAAATATCAACCAAGGTCACCCAGTAAAAATGTAACTCAGTTGCGATGGGTTAACGTTAACGACTCAGTAAGTAAAAGTATTTTAATTTATATAATATATACAATTGGTGCTTTGTACCTACTGAATAAATTTTCAAACGAGATCCTTCTCCAATTTGTGGAGTGCGTTTTGATATTTTTTAAATAAACAGTAAGCAACAGTTTATTATAAGGCGCCTCCGAACAGCTGATGTATTTTTCTGATAAGCTTTTACTTCCTGTCAGAAACACACTCCAAAGGGTTGACATTCCCTGCCGACCGTAATGGGAAATTATTTTTTTTTTTATAAATTTGAATGTTAATCTAATAACAACACTGCAGTAAATTTACCAATTGACTTAAACAGAAGTAGGACGGCGAAAAAGTAGTAGGTCTTGGTCGTATAAAATTCGGGTCAACTTCGTGTGCTGCCGTGGAAGTCGGTGGTTATGATCTACAATACAACACTCGGCTGCTGCGGCCAACGTAAGCAAATGAGCAATAAGGAAGAATAATCAGGTAATTAAAGCAGCTTATTGGAGTATTAAAGTGTCAATTACTCGGGCCAGGTGTTTTTTTATTTAAGGGGCACACCTAGTGTAATGGCCTAAAAAAGGTGATTTTTGGGAATTTTTCATTTTTTTAATTATTTCAAAATTTTAAGAATATATTTATACATGTTTCAAGAATATACAGTGAAATTTTTGAAGAAAAAAATTAAATACTTTTTAAGTTATAGTCGATCTCCAACGGCGCTAAAAAAAAGGTCCTTCACTGCTGCAGTGATTCCTTCTCCGTTGGATGAAATCAAAAAAAAAAATCCTCGTTAAATCAGATATTGTCTGTACAATGACCTACGTAAAAAAAAAAACAAAAATTGATGACGGTGTTTTAAAAAAAAATTGTCGAATTTTACCCAAAATTTTGGTCGTTTTTGGCCTGCCAAAATTCGAATTTTTGATCAGAGCAAAAATCGATAGGTCATTGTACGGAGAACTATATGTAGAAGAAGTAAAAAAAATTCGATAGTGATCGGATCATTTGGTTTTGAATAATCACTGCAGCGAATTCGGAAAATGCTGTTTCGAAAAAACGTGTTTAAAGATATAATAAAATGATCGTTTTCACTTGTAGCTAATGAGACTCTCTAGCTGCCGAGTGGCTGCCCTTTAAATTGCTATAAGTCAAAAACTATTTGAGATGTCGATTTGAAATTTTAATATGTTATTTTTAAAGGTGTAATCTACCGGAATATAGAAAAAAGATCGATTTTTTTGTTTTAAATTTCACACTAGGTGTGCCCCTTAATAAAAGGTTATTCATACCAGTTTGGAACGCTTTTCGTGCAAATAAGTTGCTTTTCGGCGAAATAGCTAAAATATGAAACATCAAGAAAATAATTAATATAATTAAAAAAAAAAATTAACGCGAAAAACTTGCTTTCCGACGTCGGGCGTTCTTGTTAAGAAAGCATCACAAACCTTAGCGGTGCGCAGTCAAAGTTTGCACGGTTGAATTTAGGACTGAGTAACAATGTATTGTTGCTTTGCAACTGACGTTTTGGGCATGGTGATTCCTTATCGTGTGACTTTTTTAACTTATTGCTGGAGAAAATAATACTATTATAATAATAATACTAATGTTGTGGGAGTGACAGTCCTTGGCCGGATAAAAATCCGGGGTTTTCCGGTATAAAGACCCGACTGTCGCATGCCTCTTACGGAAGGCATGCCTTACCGCGGGAATATTCTTGAGCCCCTAACCCGCAGGGGCGACGCAGAAACACTCTTGATAACAGGTGCATCTTTGAACTGATTAGGGAATTGAAAAGTAAAGACCGCTCCCGACGAACTAACACCAACCTCTACAAGTCCCTAATGATTCCCGTCCTGCTGTATGGTGCTGATGCATGGACGATGACAACATCTGGGAGCGGTAATTACCGCAGACGATGGAACGATGGGCTGTACGACATATACGGCGACATAGGCATATGTAGTTCAGCGAATCAAGAAGCAGCGGCTACGCTGGCTAGGTAATGTGGTCCGGATGAATGCTAATCCTCCAGCATTGAAAGTTTTCGATGCAGTACGCGCTGGTGGAAGTAGAGCAAGACCTCCACTCCAGTGGAAGAGCCAGGTGGAGAAGGATCTGGCTTTACTTGGTATTTCCAATTTGCGCCAAACAAAGAAAAAAAGAAATGATCATAGAGAAAACAATTGCATACAATTTCTTTGTTTTTAGCAGAAAATCACTTGTCTGCCCCTGCTGACAAAATTTTATTTCGTGGTGCCTGCGCGTCAGCAATGAATGTATGTACATATATGTATGTATATACCATACTAGAAATAAAACTTCTTATCGTATCCTAAAAACAGAAATAAAAACAAGAATTGTCAAAACGAATAAATTTTACATGTCAGAGTTGCAATTTTAAGACTTCACATTACCTCTTTCCTATTAAACCTTATCTGTCACAATGAAGGTGGGCTTCAGGCGCTCGGTGGAAACCTTGTCTTTGCTAGCGTTGCCTTCGACAACAGAGTACTTAAGAGTGCGGCTTACAACCTTGAATAGCCCTCTGTATGGTGCTGATAACGATGAGTGAATCGAGTCATCTTGAATGAAGACGTCGGTGCTTGATTCTAGTTTGCTATGAACGAACGGTTTTGTTGGGGTAGGCCAAGTAGTAACGACGGGCCGCAGTTCTCGCACCTGTTGTTGTTGTTGTAACCGCAAAATTATTCCCCAAAGTACTTTTTGGGGAATGCTGCGGGAGTGACAGTCCTTGCCCGGATAAAAATCCGGGTCGTTCCGGTATAAAGACCCGACTGTCGCGGGAACTATTGAATTTTAGCCGCCACTTACGACAGGCATGCTTTAGCGCGGGTAATTTCTTGACCCCCAAACCCGCAGGGGGTAGTTCTCGCACCTCGTTTGGTTTGTTGTTGCATTCAAAGATAAAATCCGAAGGCAGGCGAAGCGTTGTGCCGATTGCGAGCTTCGAAAGTGTACATCCCTTGTCCTCCTTAAAAGTTGCACGTAGGCCCAATAAAATAATTAGTAGATAAGACGTCCATTGGTTTACTTTGTAACACGGAATAGATGATTTCAAAGTGTGGCGCCATCGCTCAATTAGGCCTCAAGACGTCCAATCCAGTCACTAAGCAAGGCCTTAACAACTACAGGTACCCTCATGTTTGGTACTGGAAAGGCCTCGAGTGAATCTATCAACTATTTTAAGGCAATACCTATTGCCCTCCGATACCGGAAACGGCGCTGTAATGCAGTCTTGTTGTGTCGGATGACTTTATTACCTTGGCCCTTGATGCAGTTTTTTGCGAAGTATTTACTGTCACGCTGAAGGCCAGGCCAAATAAACCGCTCAACCATTAGCTTTGCAGTAGCACGTGCACCGGGAGGGGACAAATTACGCTTGTAAAAAATCTCGATGTCACAAAGGGACGTAAACGGCCTGTAGAAACATCGCAAATCACTCTCTTGGAACTGAAAGGTAACTAAAAGTCTTAAGCTTAAGAGAATGATTGGTTATACCCTTGATTTATGCCTTTGATTCTCCATCGATGAGCTGATCGTCGGCTAACTCGCTGTATGTCGCTCGAGATTTGCGATGTAAAGTCAAGTTAACTGGCTTGTCGATCTGACGCCTTGTGCAGCAACTGGTGTAAAGCGATTAAGAGGGGTTTGTGGTCAGTGTGAACCTGGTAAACACCTCCTTCGATCATGTAACGAAAGTGGCGGACAGCAAGACACAGTGATGCCAGCTATATATCATAGGTGCTTCAGCGAGTTTCAGGAGGCGAGAATTCACGTGATAAAAACCTTGCGACGGAAGAGAACCAACAAACCATATGATTTAGAACAGAACCGGCTGCGGATTCGGACCCGTCTACACAAAGAGATAGTTTTGCATTGGACAGTGGATGAGCTAGTGCAGCGCAATTTGCTAGTTGAGATTTGCAGGCTTCGATGTGGCGTTTAGTTGCTTCGGTCCAATCTTTTGTCCCAAGAGTTCGAGCTCGGAAACTCCAAACTTTGATTTCGAGGCGTTGATGATTAAGTTCAAGTTTCAAGCGGCTGAAGATTAAACGAAGATGTGTCTTAATGATCATAAGAGATGTGGATGCAATACAAGTATCATCCAAATACGTGAAGACACATAAGTGTATTCCTCGGCGCTGGAACGTTTGAGCTGCGTTTCTTAATCCAAACGTCTAATTCGTAAACTCGTATAGTTCAAATGGCGTTGTGATGGCGGCTTAACAAACATCAGGATGTTTGGCAAGTGATAAAAGGCGATTTGCTAACATCGTAGAAAAGACCTGCAGGAACGGCAGCCTTGCGTACTAAGTTACTGTTGGAAGGATTTCTAATGCCCAGTTTAATTAGCATGCTCTAGTTCGAGTCCCAAGCGGTGCGATCGACAACTAGGCCATGGTGTCCGAGGAGGTCGGCACCTAATATGGCCTGGGAGATGTCTGCTATTACAAATTTCCGTAAAATCTCACGGCGTAGGTTCAGGTTCAGCTTTAGAATAATGTAGCTAAATGCAGGTGCGACATTTGCGGCAAAGAGTTCATTGAGGTACGACAAAAACTGAGCCGAAACATTTTCAGTGTTGGCCAAACCCTCTGATACTAATTCAGCTAATAACAAGGCCAGTATTAGCCGCCTTTCGCAACTGTCTGTACGACGGTACACAGCTGCGTTGGTAGCAAATTTAACATGGTACCAACAAAAACTGTAAAGATTTCAGTCAACGGATTTGTTGCGCGTCGAAGATCTGGCCAATGCCGAACCCTTGAACGGTTGTTACCCAAAAGCAAACTGTATTGCTTT